TGATGAAAGTTTACTAATTAGCCCATGGTGGAGTAATTGATACCAGAGTTCGAATTCCATTTGAATCCATTGCATTCACTTACATGCTAATACTCTTGGAAAAGGTATGAATCTTTATCTTCTCCCACCAGCTATGGGTAAACAGTAGAACTGACTGGGTTCTATAGCCTTGGATAGCAACTGGCCTACTGCAGAAAGAAACGGCGACCTATTCATCAGTCATGTATTGAAAGATACATGATCACCTACACATGTATCATGCATGGCACATAACTGACTGAATTAACCCACAGCTGGGGGGAGAAAAGGTGGATTCATACCTTTTCCCAAGAGTATTTGGATATAATAAACCAAATGGAAATTAGAACTTAGCTCTCTGATTAACAACTCCAATCCATTATCCATTACACAGCTTGCATATCCAAGCTTACAGTACACTTGGTCACCCATCTAAAATACCCATCTACTGACCAGGCTTGATGTTGCTTAACTTCAGTGATTGTATGGAAACCAGTGTTTCAATGTGAGGTGGCTGTAAGCTACCATGGTTTTGAATTCAGTTTTTGTTGTATAAGAGTAAGTGACATTGCCAACACCGTGGTTTGAAACTAGATCGCCAGTGACTAACACAGGTGATTCCATTATTAAGTAGATCATTTGCTCATAAAGGAAGATTGTATTAGGTTTTAGAAAGTTGTAAATATAATAAAATTATTCTTGTAAATAAACAGTCTAATAGTGTTTAATATTTTTGTTGCAAATTCTCAAGAACAAAAAAAATGTATAAATTCACTTTCATCATATGTTTATGTTTTATTACAATTCTAATAAACCCTTTTTAAAACAATATACATTGCCGAGAATGTTTATTGTTTAAAAAGCGATGATTAGAATTGGAATAAAACCTAAACATATGAAAGTGAATTTATACATTTTCTTTGTTCTTGAGAACTGACAACAAATCAAAATGGAGTTCCACAGGTGAGAAGTGCAAGAAAAGAAACTATTAGAATAGAAGAGACAGTTGCATCTAGCTAGTCCAACTGTAAAGTGCTGAACCTAACTGCCAATCTAGTTGCACACTTGAATTCATGCATTCAGAATTAGATGGCATCCAAATGAGAATTTAAATCTCATGAAGCTATTTAAGAACATGACTCGAGTTTTTAGGTTAATGTTTTGGTGGCAAACATGGATAAATATGCCCACAATAAGGTGGAGTGACAAAAAGACAGTTTTTCCCCATGACACTGTTTTTTTAACAACCTCACTCTTTGGCCATGTCTGTTGTTTTAAAATGTGATGATTTGAATTGAAATAAAACCTAAACATATTAAATTGAATTTATACATTTTCCTTGTCATGGTTGTGGAGTGAGCATTTTAAAAGTGATTGTTTTTCAAGAACAAAAAATGTTATGAATGTGGGAGACTAGGACACAAAAGTATATGTTGCAGATACAAGAAATGGTGAAAAATATTACTTGTGTGAACATGATAAATAGATGGAGTAACAATAAAAAGCCTAAAAGAGAAATTAACAAGCTATCTCAAAAGAGGAAATTTGTTTTTGTGCAAATTAATGATGTAAAAATAAAATTGCAACTAGATACAGGATCTGATATCACTATCATAAATGAACAGACATGGAGAAAAATGGGTAAACCCAGTTTATTGACTTCTGATAAAATTGTCTATGGAGACTCAGGAAAGAGATTGAACATTTTGGGTGAATTAAGCTGTAACGTTTCTTTTATGGGAAAAACCAAGAAAGCGGTAGTGTTTGTATTAAAGAATACTGCTAATTTGTTTGGAACAGATTGGATTATATTATTTGATCTTTGAGACTTTCCAATTAACTCTTTTTGCAACAAGATAAATGATATTATGACATGTACTAATACAGCAACTGAAAAATTGAAAAGTGAACTGAAAAAAAGTTTTCTAGAAGTTTTCTCAGAAGGTCCAGGAGCATGCACAAAAGCAAATACAAAGTTTGAGTTAAAAGAGAATGTAATGCCAACATTTACGCCAAAAAGGAGTGTACCTTTTGTGGCTTTAGATCCAATTAATAATGAATTGGATAGACTAGAAAAATTATGTGTGATCTCAAAAATAGACTATTCCGAATGGGCATCACCAAAAATGTCTATGTCAAAAAAGGAGTAATTAAATCCGCCTATGTGCTGAGTTTTCAATAGGGTTAAATGAAAGTTTAAAACAACATAACTAACCATTACCAAGTCCAGAGGAAATTTTTGCCTAATTGAATGGAGGTAAATTTTTTTCCATCACTCATTGTCAGAAAGTCATTGAAAAGAGAATAGTTATTATTGCCGTAGAATGGTCACTGTGATTAAGAAAAGAAAGTGTCTTAGCTGAATAACTACCCCCACCCAAGCTCATGAGTGCAAGAGAAATAACTTGTTTTCATTCCTGAAGCCTGTAGAAAACAAATAAGACATTCTATTTTCCTTCTGGTATTGGATGACAGCAAATAGATTTTTCCTTTTCAGAAATAAACTTACCATGACTCATTGAAACATCACATGGTTTTCAATGAGAAATCATGTGACAATTATAAATCAGTGTAACCTTGATCCAAAACCAAAAGTAGATTAAAGCTATGGCTGGAGGGACTTTGTACAATTAAAACAGTTAACATTCATACTTCTAACACAGAAGGATGTGTGGGTGGTATAGAGTCTTCTAAGTTTTTTTTTGCATTTTTTCTCCCAGGGTTTTTCTTTGGACCTATACATTTCCTAAATTTCATCAATGACCTTCCTGATGTTAACAGTTCTCAACTTGGTATCTATATGGATGGCACAACTATTTACTCTCGTCTTGATAACAAATTTGATTGGTTTCATAAGGTCAAAATGGCGGCTGATGTCAAAAACTGGGGCAAGGAATGGCTTGTTAATTTTAACACTTCCAAAATGGAACTGCCCTTTTTTAATCATCTGAAAGAAGCTTTTTTGCCTTCCATCACTCCAGGAGATTGCGCCTTCTTGCACTAATGTTCTCTGTTGACATGAAGTGAAAAGGTTATATTGAATATATTGCTAGGTCTGCAGCTAGGAAAGTTGGTTCACTGTGTCGTGCTAGATAATTTTTCTCATCAGAATCTATCATACATATTTATAAGTCTACCATTTGTCAATGCTTTGAATATTGCTGCCACATCTGGTCTGGTACTTCTGCTATGTATTTAGGGATTCTTGATAAACCCCAAAGAATCTGTAATATTATTGACCCTGACCTGGTATATTGGCTTCAGTCAGTCTCACTACCCTTATATAGCTTCTTTTCTATAAGTACTTTCATGGTAATTGTTCTGATGAACTTTCCTCTATGGTACCAAGGCATTATGAATTTAAGCACAGTACTAGATTGGCAGCTAGGTCTCAACATTTTACAGTTGAAATGGCTCTAGGCTAAAAGTTTCTTCTCTTGGAATTTTGATTGTGGCTTCTTGCTTTCCAGTCAACTTTGACCTTCAAAAATTTAAATGCAATGTCAGTTATTATCTTGTTTTCTTATTTCCTGTTTTTTTATTGTTCTCTCCTTCTAATAGAGTTTTGTCTCATATTTTCTAACAGACAGGAAAAAAAAATAGTGTGAATAAGAAATCAGCAAGCTGAGTTCAAACTCCAGTCGGGTTCCTTACATTTACTTGTGCACAAATTGGAAAGGTATGATTGCATCTCCTACCCCCTAGCTATGGGTTTAATAGTAAAACTTGTATCTTAAAAAAAATTTTTATTCTAAAAAAATTATTAATGTAATATTCACTTAAAAAAAGAAATTTTGTTACAATCAGAAATATGCTTCGGCTTTAAATAATACACAAAGGGGTGATAAACCATAAAAAATTAACAAATCAATCAATCTGACACAGATATTCAAACCTTTCTAAAGTTTTGAGGGGAAAAAAATAAGATAAGTGGTTGTTTTAATTCTTCATCTATATGCTCCATGTGTTCCATCAGGGCATTGGTGATCATAGCTCTCCACAATTTCCTGTCCTTTGAAATTTTGACATTTTGTTATCTCCCCTAAACCTTATTCTAACATCCATTTAGGGAAGCTAAATAGGTTATGCATTGTTTTTCGCTGCCCCTCTTGCATTTAATCAAATTTTCCAAGCCTTCTTTCCTCATTATGTGCCCTTCAATATTCTCTTCCTGACCTTAAGTACAAGTGCTTTTTGTTTCTATTTTCTCTAAAACTTCCTCATTGCTTACATGTTCCATCCATACAATTCTCAACATCCTGCTGTAGAACCACATTTCTGTTGCTTTAGGTTTCTTCATCTGTGAGGAGATTGTCCAGCATTCACTGCCATATAGGAGGACTGATATTACATAACAATTCAGTACTCTTTTCTTTGTTTCTCTTGCTTCAAGTCTCTTCTTCATCTGTGAGGAGTTGTCCAGCATTCACTGCCATATAAGAGGACTGATATTACATAACAATTCAGTACTCTTTTCTTTGTTTCTCTTGCTTCAAGTCTCTTCTTCATCTGTGAGGAGATTGTCCAGCATTCACTGCCATATAGGAGGACTGATATTACATAACAATTCAGTACTCTTTTCTTTGTTTCTCTTGCTTCAAGTCTCTTCTTCATCTGTGAGGAGATTGTCCAGCATTCACAACCATATAGGAGGACTGATATTATTTAATAGTTCAGTACTATTTCAATTAAAGATGTAGTTTTTCCTCATGATAGATGTTATGAAAATGGTGTCATATTTTGTTTTTATTACCAAATTACACTTGATATTAAAATATAAAAGGGCAACATAGATGTTTTCTGACGGAAGAATATAGCTCAATAAATTCTGAAACATTTCAAAAATGATAATCAATATGATAAAACTCTTCAACTGTTAAATTACAAATTAGTTTCAAATGTAGCGCAAGATAAATATCTTATTTTCCTCGATTTTTCTTATAATACCAGCCAGGTTTGAAACAACTGTAAAAAATACTTACCTTGAGTTGAGAGAAAAATTCCTTCTCTTTGGCTGTTGGTTTCTCTATCATTGACTGAATCGATTTTAAATTATTTGAAATGGATTTTAAATCCTTTTTAAGAACTGCAAAAAAAAACAAGAAAAATCAGTATCTGTCTATATTTTTGAGATGAGGTATTATGTAGACTATTTACATTATTCGGACTATTGTCCTCATTTTTGTCGCCATATTTGTTACAATCTTTTGGCCTTTCAGTATCTGTCTATATTTCTGAGATGAGGTATTATGTAGACTATTTACATTATTCGGACTATTGTCCTCATTTTTGTCGCCATATTTATTACAGCGTTTCGGCCTTTCAGTATCTATTTCTATTTATTTGTCTATTTTTGAGATGAGGTATTATGTACACTATTTACATTATTCGGACTATTGTCCTCATTTTTGTCGCCATATTTATTACAGCGTTTCGGCCTTTCAGTATCTATTTCTATTTATTTGTCTATTTTTGAGATGAGGTATTATGTAGACTATTTACATTATTCGGACTATTGTCCTCATTTTTTGTCGCCATATTTATTACAGCGTTTCGGCTTTTTCAGTATCTATTTCTATTTATTTGTCTATTTTTGAGATGAGGTATTATGTAGACTATTTACATTATTGGGACTATTGTCCTCATTTTTGTCGCCATATTTATTACAGCGTTCGCCTTTCAATATCTATTTCTATTTATTTGTCTATTTTTGAGATGAGGTATTATGTACACTATTTACATTATTCGGACTATTGTCCTCATTTTTGTCGCCATATTTATTACAGCGTTTTCGGCCTTTCAGTATCTATTTCTATTTATTTGTCTATTTTTGAGATGAGGTATTATGTACACTATTTACATTATTCGGACTATTGTCCTCATTTTTGTCGCCATATTTATTACAGCGTTTGGCCTTTCAGTATCTATTTCTATTTATTTGTCTATTTTTGAGATGAGGTATTATGTAGACTATTTACATTATTTGGACTATTGTCCTCATTTTTGTCGCCATATTTATTACAGCGTTTCGGCCTTTCAGTATCTATTTCTATTTATTTGTCTATTTTTGAGATGAGATATTATGTACACTATTTACATTACTCGGACTATTGTCCTCATTTTTGTCGCCATATTTATTACAGCGTTTCGGCCTTTCAGTATCTATTTCTATTTATTTGTCTATTTTTGAGATGAGGTATTATGTACACTATTTACATTATTCGGACTATTGTCCTCATTTTTGTCGCCATATTTATTACAGCGTTTCGGCTTTTCAGTATCTATTTCTATTTATTTGTCTATTTTTGAGATGAGGTATTATGTAGACTATTTACATTATTGGGACTATTGTCCTCATTTTTGTCGCCATATTTATTACATCGTTTCGGCCTTTCAATATCTATTTCTATTTATTTGTCTATTTTTGAGATGAGGTATTATGTACACTATTTACATTATTCGGACTATTGTCCTCATTTTTGTCGCCATATTTATTACAGCGTTTCGGCCTTTCAGTATCTATTTCTATTTATTTGTCTATTTTTGAGATGAGGTATTATGTAGACTATTTACATTATTCGGACTATTGTCCTCATTTTTTGTCGCCATATTTATTACAGCGTTTCGGCCTTTCAGTATCTATTTCTATTTATTTGTCTATTTTTGAGATGAGGTATTATGTAGACTATTTACATTATTCGGACTATTGTCCTCATTTTTGTCGCCATATTTATTACAGCGTTTCGGCCTTTCAGTATCTATTTCTATTTATTTGTCTATTTTTGAGATGAGGTATTATGTAGACTATTTACATTATTCGGACTATTGTCCTCATTTTTGTCGCCATATTTATTACAGCGTTTCGGCCTTTCAGTATCTATTTCTATTTATTTGTCTATTTTTGAGATGAGGTATTATGTAGACTATTTACATTATTCGGACTATTGTCCCTCATTTTTTGTCGCCATATTTATTACAGCGTTTCGCCTTTCAGTATCTATTTCTATTTATTTGTCTATTTTTGAGATGAGGTATTATGTAGACTATTTACATTATTCGGACTATTGTCCTCATTTTTGTTGCCATATTTATTACAGCGTTTCGGCCTTTCAGTATCTATTTCTATTTATTTGTCTATTTTTGAGATGAGGTATTATGTAGACTATTTACATTATTCGGACTATTGTCCTCATTTTTGTTGCCATATTTATTACATTGTTTCGGCCTTTCAGTATCTATTTCTATTTATTTGTCTATTTTTGAGATGAGGTATTATGTAGACTATTTACATTATTTGGACTATTGTCCTCATTTTTGTCGCCATATTTATTAGTGTTTCGGCCTTTCAGTATCTATTTCTATTTATTTGTCTATTTCTGAGATGAGGTATTATGTAGACTATTTACATTATTCGGACTATTGTCCTTATCTTTGTCGCCATGTTTATCACATTTTGTTGTGATAAACATGGCAACAAAGATGAGAACAATAGTCCAAATAATCTAAATAGTGAAAAAAAAATCAATGTAAAATAATTCTAATATTATTCTATATTATGTGTCCAATCAAAAAAAGATATCATAAATACCATATTGAAAAAAATAACCAATCACCATTAACTAAATTTACTATTTTATTTAAATTGGATAATTCCGAGATTTTTGGTTATTTAAAGAAAGCACTGCCCTCCCCAACAATTTCCCTTCAAGGGACTGTGGCTCCCAGGTTGGGAAACTTTTAAATCATGTAATAGAAAATTGATTCTAGTAAATACATTTCTGTATAACATTCTTACCTTCAATATTAGCATGAATGGCTTTGACAGATATTTTTGCACATTTCATAACTGTGCTGAACTCTTTGTGGAAGTCTAAAAGCTCTGGACTGCTTTTATTAAGTTGACAGACCAACATTTTCAAAAGAGAGAAGCTGCTTGCATTGTGGATGCTTTTTAACTGAAAAGATACAACACAATATAGAACAGTCATATTTGTTCATTAGAAAAATTTAAAACATCTCACCTCATCATCAAAAATAATAATTCACTTGCAAGATTCACATTCATATTTAATTATATTGGATATACTACAACGTGTCTAACAATAAGACTCATGTTGCATCTCTCTGACCATAGCTCAATTACATCTCATTTAAATATACATAGAGACCTACCAAACTATCTGCAACATACTCATTGATAATACTGAAGCCAGTTTCTTCATACTTGGAATAAAATTCCCTATTCTGTTTTGTTCATCAAACAGCATAGTGTAAGTCAAACAATCAAAAATAGTGTCTTCTGTTTGCTTCTAATGTTTACTTTAATTTCTGGTGAAAATAAAGACAAAAATTGTCCAATGTTTGGATATTTTTTTATCAATTTGGTCCTAAGCTTATGGCTCACATGAGCCATCCTCAGAGTGGTTATACAGACATGAAACAAAGATATCCACCATCAAAGATGATATTTTGTTATTTTATATAGAAGATTGCTATGTGATGATAATGGTCGTGGAATATCAGACGCAGATCTTAAGTTCAAGATGCGGTTCTATGATGTCTCATGTGATAGACCAAAGTATTACAAAAAAACAATATCTAGATTCAATGTAATGTGTTGTGACTAGTTTGAAATGTAAATTTTTTGAGTGTGTGCTGCTTCATTTTAATTTAGATGTGTCCAATATCTGAAGGTTCTTTTTACTGTGTGTATGTGTGAGTACACACAATTATGATTCAGGAAATTAATTATTTTACAAAAAATCATCACTCTAGCGTTTTTATTTTCTTGAATTGGCATATCTGTTCTGTTTTGTATCTGAAACATGAACAAAGCAATTTCTAAAATGATTAAAACACACTAGATCACATAGCGGTTTCTCCAGCAAAACAGGGATTCAGCTTTGAATCCTGCCAAATATAACAAACCCAACTGGAATTGGAACTCGGCTCTCCGATTAACAATTTTGAGCCATTATACATTATACCACCCGCACATCCAAGCTTACAGCACCTGGTATTCCCAAGTGGTCACCCATCTAGATACTAACCAGGCTCAATGTTGCTTAACTTTGGTGATCATACGGGAACCCAGCTCCCTTATTAATAATTCTGAGCCATTATCCATTACGCCACCTGCACATCCAAGCTTACAGCACCTGGTATTCCCAAGTGGTCACCCATCTAGATACTAACCAGGCTCAATGTTGCTTAACTTTGGTGATCATACAGGAACCCATCTCCCTTATTAATAACTCTGAGCCATTATCCATTACACCACCTGCACATCCAAGCTTACAGCACCTGGTATTCCCAAGTGATCACCCATCTAGATACTAACCAGGCTCAATGTTGCTTAACTTTGGTGATCATACGGGAACCCATCTCCTTATTAATAATTCTGAGCCATTATCCATTACACCACCTGCACATCCAAGCTCCCAGCACCTGGTATTCCCAAGTGGTCACCCATCTAGATACTAACCAGGCTCAATGTTGCTTAACTTTGGTGATCATACGGGAACCCATCTCCCTTATTAATAATTCTGAGCCATTATCCATTACACCACCTGCACATCCAAGCTCCCAGCACCTGGTATTCCCAAGTGGTCACCCATCTAGATACTAACCAGGCTCAATGTTGCTTAACTTTGGTGATCATACGGGAACCCATCTCCCTTATTAATAATTCTGAGCCATTATCCATTACACCACCTGCACATCCAAGCTCCCAGCACCTGGTATTCCCAAGTGGTCACCCATCTAGATACTAACCAGGCTCAATGTTGCTTAACTTTGGTGATCATACGGGAACCCATCTCCCTTATTAATAATTCTGAGCCATTATCCATTACACCACTTGCACATCCAAGCTCCCAGCACCTGGTATTCCCAAGTGGTCACCCATCTACAGGGTGATTGAAAAATAATTCCATATTTTATGTATGAGTGGCCAGCCAGGAGTCCTGACTTAACACCCTGTAACCTTTTTCCTTGGGGTTGGTTAAAGGAACAAGTCTACTATACCAAACCAAGACTTTGGAAGAATTCAAAGGTGAATCCAAGAAGTTATGTCTTCCATACCACAAGAGTTCCTGGTGAAATCAGTTGACATGATTCCTGGGCAACTGGTAGCGAAATCTGGTGCCCATATCAAATTTTAAATAAAACCTCATGCTGAATGCTTTCCTCTCATATTCATTTATTGTAAAAATTATAGTTAATAAATAAATTATAAGTATTTTAAAAAGTCGAGTTACTTTTCAATCACCCTGTAGATACTAAACAGGTGTCAGGAACCAATGTTTCAGTGTGATGTGGGTTTAAGCAATTAATTGGTTAGTATGAAAATGGTAGCTCAAAAATATCATAGATAACAAAGCAACTGAATGTGTTTCTTACTTCTGTGAGGAATTTCAAATGAAATCCTTGTATCGCAGCGGCATTACTAGCTGAACCTGAAGTGTTCATGATATTAAAAATGGCCAGCAAGTATTCCAAAACTTTGGGGAATTTCTTTGAATTTAAAATCTCACTGCAGGCATTGATCAACAGCTTAATAAACTGAATTAAAAAAAAATGAAAACAAAAAGGTGAAAAATAAAGAAAAGGCAGCCATAAAATGATTATTGCAGTTCCAAACTTTGAAAATATCATGAAGTGAAATTTTCCAAGGCAAAATTTAAGCATGAACGTCATTTTGAAAAAAAAAAAAAACAAAAACATATTCCATGCCAATCAAGATCAGATGTTCAAAAAAAGAGACAAAAACATATTCCATGCCAATCAAAATCAGATGTTAAAAAAAAAGAAACAAAAACATATTCCATGCCAATCAAGATTCAGTCTGTTGTTCTCATCTTGAGCTAGGCCACAAAAATCTCGACCAAGTATAGACATGAACACAATATGGAAACCAGTAATTGAGAGAGTTAGAGAAAAAAAAAACCCACAACAACAGAAAATGTTATATAAGATCTTCTCATATGGTGAAGTTTTACCCCTGTGGCTTCCAAAGAAATCTACAAGGGTAAAATCTTCATCCTGCAAAAACCCTACTTGCTATAGAAACCACAAGAGCAACACCTCATGTGGTGAGACTTTGGTCCAAGTATAGACATGAAAACCAGTAATAGAGAGAGCTAGAGAAAAAAAACCCCAAAAAACACAATAACAGAAAATGTAATATGAGATCTTGGTCAAAAATGGTTACTGAGACATTAGATTTTTAAGTCCCCAAAATTCATTCTCCCCTCAGCTATGGGTTAAAAAGCAAGGCTGACTGAGCTCTTAAGCCTTGATTGGCGATGATTCTAGGAGAAGGACAAATCTGAATTCAAAACCAGTTGGATATAGGGCTGACAACTCTGCCCTGTAAAAGCATACTTGCTATGAAAACCACATGTGCAACACCTCATGTGGTGAGACTTTGGTCCTATGCTCCATGAGTATTGGTAGTAAAAAGTATACAGTGTAAAGAACTTTGTCTATACCCAATTATCTCTGGTTCTGGACACAAGTTTAAGAAAAAAAGAAATTTAGCATCATTTCAAAATTTCAACACCATTGCTCCTACATCAGAATTCATTGCTGCATGCGTTTCCCATCTTAAAGGTCTTCATGTAGTCTTTGAGAAAAGATGCAATGATCTATTAAAGATGGCTTATCCACTCTGGTTTGTGAACCTAGAAAATTATGAGCCAGGAGATGAAAATGTTGAGTTGGCTGAAATGTTGCTGGACTTGAAAGAGAATGTGAAACTGAGAAGAAAGGTTGACAAAGAAGGTGTCTTTGCCTACATATTGATAAAAGGACTCACACCCAAATATTTTTCAACATTTAGAAGTAAGCATCATTTCTTTCCCTACCACATGAATGGTGGAATCTGGATTTTCAGCTGTTGTGTATGTTTTCAGTAGAAAAAGAAATATATTAGATCTGAACAGCAGAGGAAAAATCAGACCAAGACTGAAAGACATCATCAAAATTGATTATGATATCTTGTGTGAGAAACACTAAGATCAAGGTAGTCACTAGCTGAATGGACTAAGACTGAAAGACATCATCAAAATTGATTATGATATCTTGTCAGAAACACCAAGATCAAAGTAGTCACTAGCTGAATTGACTAAGACTGAATGACATCATCAAAAAGAATTTTGATATCCTGTGTTTATCCTTGTTTACTAAAATAAATTTTAAAATGTAAATGGGCTACTTTGTCTTTTCATTGAGTATTTTAGTGTGAAAATTGAACAGCCTAAAAGTAAAAGTAGGAGTGGTCCATTTGAATTTTTTGAAGAAAAAAATGGTCCATGGACTGAAAAAGGTTGTGAAGCACTGTACTAGACACAAACCATTTATAAAATATACATTTTATTCAATCTTATTTCTCTACAAACTATGCAAAGAAATTGATATTAATAAATCGTAACTGATGTTCTCTGTTTTAAAATTATAAAATTCTATAAAAATTTTAATACTTTATGCTTGCATTTTAAAACAAAAAAATATTTTGTTTCCTTTAAAACTAAACACACTGATAGTTTTTATACTAACTTATGATTGAATTTTGGTAAAGCAGATATAAATTCTTTCTATACTAACATGTTATTGTGCTGACAGAAACATTTTATATATGGCAATTTTTAAAATTTGAACTAAAAATCAATAACAAGTGAAATATCTATGAAAATATGCTTATAAAAATTTTATATTTCATTTTTAATTGATTTGTTTTCTATAGCTAATCAGTCATTTACAGGTTAAGCCAGAAAATATTTTTAAATTTTAAGAATTTTTTTGTTTGAGATAATAATGGTTTAGTGATACAAATTTTACTAATTAACCTGTAGCTGAGGGTGGGAAAGAGGTGGATTCATACTTTTCCCAAGGGTATTTGAATGTAAGTAAATATGATGAACCAAAGTTCTTTGATTAACAATTCCAAGTCATTATCCATTACACCACCTACTCATCCAGAAAACTTTTGAGTGAGAGATTCATTTTTTACAGCTTATCAACACTTTGCAGGTTATCTAAAGCCAGAAAATATTTTTAGACTGTAAGATTTTTTTTGGAGATAATAATAGTTTAGTGATACAAGTTTTACTAATTAACCCATAGCTGGAAGGAGAATAAGTGCATTCATACTTTCCCCAAGGGTATTTGCATGTAAGTGAATATAACAAACCCATCAGGAATTCGAACTTGGCTCTCCAATTAACAATTCGGCCACATTATCTATTACTCACACATCCAATCTTACAGCACCATGTATTCCCAATCAGTCACCCATCTAGGTACTGGTGAGGCTCGACATTGCTTAACTTTGCTGATCATACAGAAACCAGTGTTTTAATGCAATATGACCATAAGTCTTTTGACATGAGGAATTGTTGATATACTTTATTTTGAATGATATGTTATTATAGATATGTTTCGGCTAAGTATCCTCTGGACATCATCAGGTGTCCATTGTTTGACTGATATGGGATACTTGTTGTTTATCGTATTATTTTGTCACTGTAATGTCATTCCTACTGAATTAATGTTTATTCATTCAGTACTTGATTGAAGGATTGAACTCATGATAATGAGATAACAGTGACATGTTTTAACCAATTCCTATATCAACCATTCATCCAAAGGCATACTTTTGAAGTCTTTTAAGTTTAATGTCAGATGGTTTTCAACATTTGGTTATCATGGTGTGTTCATATTGTTGTGATACTATGGACACCCACATAGAAAGGGGAAGAGGCAGTTTTATTATGACCTCAAGTGTTTCTTTTTGATGGGCTAGCAAATGGTTCCTTTTGAAATTATGTCTTCTAAGTGGCATCCACTTCAACCAAAGGTTAATGGGAAGTAAACAAGTGGATGACAGAATTTTGAAGATCAAGTGACAACAAATAGGAAATAGAGTAAGGATCGGATAAATATAGCCACAAAGATGCGGACAATAGTCTGAATAATGTAAATAGTGTACGTAATACCTCATCTCAGAAATATAGACAGATACTGAAGGATTGGATAAATATGCCAACAATGATGAGGACAATAGTCTGAATAATATAAATAGTGTACATAATACCTCATCTCAGAAATATAGACAGATACTGAAGGGCCAAAACTTTGTGATAAATATAACAACAAAGATGAGGACAATAGTCTGAATAATGTAAATAATGTACATAATACCTCATCTCAAAAATATAGACAGATACTGAAGGATCAGATAAATATGGCAATAATGATGAGGACAATAGTCTGAATAATGTAAATAGTGTACATAATACCTCATCTCAGAAATATAGACAGATACTGAAGGGCCAAAGTTTGTGATAAATATAACAACAAAGATGAGGACAATAGTCCGAATAATGTAAATAATGTACATAATACCTCATCTTAAAAATATAGACAGATACTGAAGGATCAGATAAATATGGCAATAATGATGAGGACAATAGTCCGTATAATGTAAATAGTGTACATAATACCTCATCTCAGAAGTATAGACAGGTACTTCTCATCTTGAATGTTAAAATAATAATATATAATAATAATAATAATAATATCATATATAATATAATATATAATAATATATAATATCATAAATAATCATAATAAATAATATCATTAATAATAATGCAGGGTGTAATAAATAAATTGTCATCTAAATTGTACAAATATGAAAATAACACTGACATCTCATTTTAACAGATATATTTACCAAAATTGCACAAAAACGTTTTGAAATATTAAAGCATAAATTTATTCAATAAAATCATCATTGGTTTCAAACATCGACTCCAGATGACTTTGGAATTTCCTGTAACTCTTCTGGATGGTCTCCTTGTTTAAGTTGGTGAATGCTGCCACAATCCTTGCCTTCAGTTCATCTTTGGTGATACAAGGAGTTTTGTTGATCTCTGGCTCAACTGAGCCTTACACATAATAATCAAATTATTAAGCAAAACCTCCATTTCATATTTATAGTCTGGGGCGGGGGAAGGTGGTCAGATGTAAGGGGTGATGTGGTTGCAGAAATTGTTTGGCCAGACTGCAACCCCTTTGATTATTATGCGTGGAATGCGTTTACTCTTTAGTATTTCAAGATATTTTTGTGTAATTTTGATAAATATATCTGTTAAAATGAGATGTCAGTGTCATTTTCATTTTTGCATAATTTAGATGACAATTTATCCATCGCACCATGTATTTTACCCTTCACCTTCAGTAGAGATCACAGAGTCATTGGGAACTCCAGAATCTTTTCCATGACTGTATAGAAAATGCTTTGACAAGGCAACATATAGTTCTGAATTCATTGTTTGCTTTCTCCTATGGTAATAGTAATAGTAGCCATTTCACTAAAAGGAAATATTTGGTATTCATTGAGTAACCACTGCTACTCAAGTTATACCTTCCTTCATTCCCTGGCCATCAGGCTGCAATCAAAGTGTAATATCTGTTCTCTTGATCTCTAAATGTAATAGTAATATTAGCAGTTTCCTTATAAGGAAATATTTGACATTCATTGACCGAGCAGCCAGTACTACTGTCGACTGAAATTTATAAAATATTTCTCTTAAAAAGTTTTTTAGGAAAATAGGTTTCTCAAGTCCAGTAGCTATTATTTCTCTTTCAAATATTGATGGGAGTTTCCTTACTAACCTTTTGTTTGATGTAGGGTGGAATGTCAACATCTTGATGATGTCATTATTTTCTCTTTAAGTTCTATATGATAGCCATTTTAGCTGTTGCTTCTGCTAACCACATTTTAGATCCTGGAATTTATCCTATTTCCTTCCCTGGAATTTTTTCTATTTCATTCCTTGGAATTTACCTTATTTCATTCCCTGGAATTTACCCTATTTCAATCCTTTGAATTTACTGTATGTCATTCCCTGGAATTTACCATATTTCAATTCCTTGAATTTACTGTATGTCATTCCCTGGAATTTACCATATTTCAATCCCTTGAATTTACTGTATGTCATTCCCTGGAATTTACCCTATTTCAATCCCTTGAATTTACTGTATGTCATTCCCTGGAATTTACCATATTTCAATTCCTGGATTTTACCTTATGTCACTTCCTGGAATTTACCCAATTTCAATTCCTGGAATTCATCATATTTTAGATGCTGGATAGCTTTTAATGAAAATTGCTTTGAGAAAAGAATTTTAACCTCAATAAATTCTTCATATTGACTTTCAAATGACCACACATTAAGGATCAGTTCCAGCCTTTTCTGCAGACAGGGAATTGAAGACAACAATGCCATAATCTTGTCAGCTTTGCCAAATGAAGTTTTATCTTGTATCAGTTTCTGATACAATTCAATCTCATCTTTTACTGGTTGGTACCTGAAAGAAAAATAGAAAATATAATTTATGAATATTCCAAGTAAGATAATTAAAAATTTCTATAAACTTATTGCCATTAGTTTTTTTTATAATTACTTTTCAGTTTTAAGTTTTTGTCCCTAAAATTGTGGGATAACTTTGAAAAACAATTCTAAGAGATTTCCAATCGCAGTGAGAACTTTTGAATCAACCTTATAAATATTTAAAGTTATTCAAATATTTAAATGAATCAGTGTAATTATTAAATGAAAAATTAAAAATATAACAATGAAATAATAAAAAAATTCAGATGACTGGAGATTCTTTATGGTACATACTTGGGTGATCATGTCTCTTCATGTTTAAATCAGTCAGCCAGTTAAGTGCCATATGTGAGCAATAATGTCACTTCATGTTTAAGTCAGTCAATTAAGTACCATATGTGGTATATACTTGGGCTGTAGTGACTACTATGCTTACCATGCCTACAATTTACTCATCTGTAATTGGTTAATAAATAAATACTGTTTTACCACAGGACAATTTACTAATCGCAGTCACCACAAATTTGCTCAAACATGCTTTTGTTAGAAAATCAGTGATTGGTTGATTTTTATCCAATCATACATTTTTTTATGTTCATTCAACTTTCCCACGTTGTTGCTTGGAGCCTACTAGTAGTTATACAGTGTAACCCGGATATAAGAGACCCGGATATAAGAGAAACCCGGATATAATCGAGATTTTCTCTGGTCCCAAATTAGAGCCTGTGTTAATGTATATAAAATAGACCAAACCCGGATATAAGAGACTTCTTCTCTGGTCCCGACAACTGTCTTATATCCGGGTTACACTGTATAAACAGTGGTTTGTTCCAAAAATAGACAGTAGAGTCCAGCAACTTACACTTGTCTACACAAATTAGTGATTCTACTCACAACGCACACATAGACACAGAAATTTGTATTACATTCCAGGGGTGGCCAACCTTTTGATTCCATGCGCCAATATTTTGTACGATTAATTTAAATGCGCCACACAAACATTCACTTCCTTTCAGTACGTGTTGCAATATGGACATATTTTAAAGTTATAATAAAATCTATTTATTTGAAAAATATATGCTTCTGACCAGGGGCGTATCCAGGAGGTTTTAAGTCATGCAATAAATATAAAATCACTGAAATGAATGAGTAGAAGTGGCTTAGTTTCTTTTCATCAAAAGGATGCAATGCGCCACTTGTAAGCATCCACAGGTTGGCCATCCTTGCATTACACTATTCATCTTCACTGAGCAAGCCAAGTTTACAAACCAACACTCTGTTAGCTACACAAGCCACACATATCTAAATTATTCCTTTCTTAATTCAACATTCTATTTCAACATAGAACTTTGAACATTCTTATGAAAGAAATATTCTTAATAACATTTTATTTTATTCAAGATAACAGTTAAAGGGAAACTACTTTTCTTTCCTTAATATTCACACATTAGCACAATTGTTTTGTACTTGTTTTTAATATATATTTTATCATTGATGCAAAATTAGTTTCTCGTTGTTTTTTCCTTGAATCATTAATGTATAAATGTTAAATGCTTTTACAACACGCAATCACGTTGAGATCTTCAATGCATAACACAAGCAGCATTTACAGGGCGATTATTTCTCTTTCGATTCATGACTTTGATGGAATAGTCCATACATACCTTTTCACCCCTCCGGTATAATCCACTTTACACCAAAAATCACCTATCAACCAATCAACACTCTAGTTTCAGCAAGTGAGACATCTCATTGGCTCAGACCCTTAGAACTGTAACAAGTTCATGGAGCCTATTTTCTTGACCAAAGCTCTATAAACAGAAGAATCTGAATCAACTCTTTCACCTCTGGAGAGATGCCAAACTAATCCATGCAAGTCAAAACCTTGACCAACTACACTTTTACCGCGCAAACTTCTCTGACTCAGCAAACAACAACCACGCTCTCTCTCAGGAACAATTTCTAGCAATTACTTACAATACTTAAAAAGTGATATTTACTCACTACTAAATAAGTATTTGTAGACAATCAATCAAACATCTAAACAACTAAAGGTACACAACTCCTACCAATTCTGAACAATAACTTAAACAAACTTACGCACACAGATTGAACTCGCACAAAGGATATTTTTGTACATAACCAGCTACTTAGTTTAATTTTACGAACAAATCTTAATAACAGCTTCACACACGCTGAAACTTCACAAAAATACTCTACACAATCTAATTCAACCATCCTCATTTATCCAAAAATATTCAACCCAATTGTATATGTCAATTAATGTTATTGTTGCACTTTTAATTATGTTTGTCTTCACTTTGAATTTTCTTGCATGATTTGTTTTCAATGTTTCTTTTACCTCTTAATTTGTTGTGGATGAATGTTTAAGAACACTGACATCATAAATCCTTCTGATAACTAAAAATATATTCACCAGTATGCAAGAACTTTGTTTTGAATAGGGTGTAATTTCCCTTTTAATTCATTTTTTTTTTAGGTATATGAACTGCATTTTCGACCTGAGGACATAAGGCGAGAAACACCAGCGTTTGATAAGAAAACTGGTACCCCAATTAGTGTTAGCTTTAAAAAACCAATTCTTCATGTAGGTGCAATCCCTAGAATTTTACCAAACTGTCCCTCATATTTATCTTCACTAACCCCGTCTAGGGAGTCACCAGAGTCCAGAGGTGTGTTCCACTATAAACTTACTATGTCAGTGGTTCTGAACCTTTCTTGTCTAACGCACCCTTTTCAACATATGTTGGAATATCATTCCCCAACTTTATAAGAAAGTCTGACTCAAAAGATACATTAGAAATAATATTTTTATATTATCGAAAAATCTTCATTTTTTTTTCCATATTACTAAGCATAAATTTACATGAATTTTTTTTATGGAGGTGTTTTATAAATTCAATAGCAATAGGAAATGTTGACAGATTTTTAAACTTAAATTGTTTTAATTCATAGTTGGTTATTAGATAAATATATAGTGGGTTATCAGTTATAGTGAAATGTGTGAGCGTTATCGTAGAGTAGGAATGTCTTCGAAGTAATCGCTCAGTCTTAAATGTTTCGTTCGTTTATCAAGTATAAAAGAGGCGAAGGAGAAAGGTAGCGATAATAATAACGATTACTTGACGTTTGTCAAGGGACTTGTTAATACATTTGTCTCCTCTCTGGTGACAGGCAAACTTGCTTGTCTTTTATTTTGTTTGTGGAGTTTGAAAAGGTCATTTGGGAATTCACTCCCAGATATGATTCGGGCCTTTCCATTGGATGAAGAACAAACTTTGCTTTGGCTCGTGAAAAGGTCCGTAACAGAATTTGTTTCTGAGAATTGAAGATTATTTGAATTTTGTTTTTAAATGTTTTCTAGTTTTCTATTGGCTGAAAAACATTTCGCATCAAGGTGTGAAATTTCATGAGTTTTGTTAACACACACGCTTTTGCGTGTGTGTTAAGCAAAGTTTGTAAATTCAAGTCTTTTTAATTTCTAGCAAAATCAATGAGTCAGTGCTTAGCATTTGGATTTTAAATCTATATCATGTTTTGTTCACTACAAATAAACTGAAGCAGACTTTAATAAACAAAAAGGTTCGATAGAATGCTGGGTTACTGGAATTCAATAAACAAAATTCTATAAATAAAGAAAAACAAGAAAAAGTAAAAGACTTTTCCCTTCCCGCTATTGAAATTCTCTCAGGGAGGAGGCGGGGTTGTAATTGACTTTTTTATGCTCAACGTTGGGTACTTTTTAACGCACATCATATATATATATATATATATATATATATATATAATTATTATTTATAAAAGATCACTTGATAAGACACCGAGAGTGTTGAAGCAAAATGGCTATTTTGTAGTGATTTTATAACATATTTATGTTATAATTTTTTTATAAATAATAATTATATCTGCTCTACGTTGTATTGAGCACTCTTTTAGGAATAGTAATTGTTGGTTATTGGAATTCATTCCGTATATACCAATTATATACTTATATATATATATATATATATATATATATATATATATATATATTATTAAAGACAACAAACATTTTGTACCAATTAATTTTACTGAATGACTTTTCAAAATTATGAATAATACTTCTCAGACAAGGAAGAATTTCCATCAGAAATTGCTTGAAGTTCATTGCAGAAGAACCATACAAGAAATATAGTTCAATCTTTCGACGTTTTTTAACTCATCAGCATAGGTACAGAAAATTGGTGAGTTCAATTCAGTTTGACCATATACATGATTGATGTCACCTTGATTGACTTGAAATTGGTTTCATCAAACGTGATAATGCCAGAATTAAAAAAAACAAAAAACAGTCATATAAACAATTCTGGAAAAACGTAATAATAAAATTATTTCAATATTCCTTGCCGGCTGTATTCAAGGAAATATATATATATATATATATATATATATATATATATATATACACATACATACAAACACACAGACTTACTTCTGAATTTTCTGGATTTGGTCGATTTTGTCATCTTCAGGTGGTGTAATAGAATTGATCACTTCTTCTATGTTGTAAACAGTTTGAATAAACAGATCTGATTTCATCAAAATCAAAATATTCTGGGCTTTTTTGGGAGACATGTAAGAAATTCTTTTGGCTAAAAAAATAAAATAAAACAAAATAAGCACTTAGATAATTTGATGCACAACTCACACTGAAAATTATATTTTTGTGATACAAGCAAAGAAATTCAACATAGATAGTGCAAGGATCTTGTGCAGCCACCCACTTTTTTTTCACGTATACTGTCAGTGTTGCCCATTCACTATATTCAACTTTTTTAAGTACACTAGTTTTCTCTAATCTATCCAATTCTTTATCTGTCTGTTCAATTGAGGCAAATGGCACATTCCTTTTCTTTTTGAATACCGCCTGAGTGTTTTCTTTTAGCTGGAATTTTGCCGCCATCTTGGTACACGCTCCCAAACCTGGAGAAAAAACAGTAGGAAATGTTCCCTTAAGTTTCTTTATTAATTTTTGGGCTTTGGTGTTTAAACTTTCTACCTTGTAACAGAAGGAATTTATCAGTAGATCTCATAATTGGAATTCTGTTATCCAATTCGTACCAAGTAAGTTTGTGGTATTTTCTATGACAAATAGTTTAGGTTTTTGCGTTTTTTTATTTAATGTGACGTTTGTAACAAATTCCCCAATAAATTGTATTTTTTCTCCCGTCACTGACCTCACGATTTTCTTTGTCTTCATTAAAGTTGGTTTCCCCAACTTCTTCCATGTATGCAAATTTATGATAGATAGGTCAGAACCAGTGTCAAGTTGCACTTTTATATTTTTATTACTTATATCGACGGTAAAAAATTTTCTGGTTATTCCATCGTTCACCTCGTCGGACTTTAATTTTCTTATTTTATTGTCATTATTTTTTGAATTGCAATGCATGCTTTTATGACCCACTCTTTTACAGTTGAAACATTTTTTATTCCTAAAATTGCAATATCTGTACCAGTGTAGTTCACCACAAGCAAAACATGGCTTCGGGAGTTTTTGTTTATTTTTCTCTGGTATTTCACTTTTTGCTTGATAATCCGCAATTTTAGAATTCTTTTCGATAGACTGACTTTCTTCTTTGTAGTGTATTTTCCTTACATGCAAAACGCCAGACTGTTCTATCTTTTTTTAATCTTTCTTTACGCTAACATATCTTGTGCAGTCTTCTGCCAGCCTCTGTATTGTAACATTCGGCTCGCTTTCCAATTTTGCCAGTACTAATTTTCTCAACTCTGCGTCTCTTTCCGATACCAGCCCCTGAACAAACACCAAGCACTTAAAATTGTCTGTGCTTAACTCTGCCAGCTTGAATTCTTCACAATGCTTATTCACATTGGCTGCGTACGTTATATAGTCTTGTTCGTCATCTTTCATCAGATTCAAACATCTCCACCTCTTGTGAAACAGAGATGTCTTTTTACTAAATAATTCACTTAATATATGTACCACCTCGGTAAATGTCAACTCGCTAGTTTTTTTCGGTAAAATGTAGTTTACCAATTTGTTATGCTCAGCAGTTCCTAATTTGCTTAAAAGAAGCCTAACCTTCTTTCCTTCAGACCATGAGTGGCAGTCCTCATTATACACGTCCGTATATTTTTTATAATACTCCTCAAAAGTTTTCTCTTCATCTGGACTGTACGTGAATATTTCAATTGAATTCCATATTGTATTCTCTGGGAAAGAATCGTTTTGTAGATTTTTCTCTTTCCTCTTCTGAGTTATTTCCAGAATTTTGTTTTGAAACTCCCTATGCATCTGTTCCATTTTTTTTTGTTGGAATTGCATTTGTCTATTAAAAGTTTCCTCCTGTAGCTGCATCTGGAATGTTTTTTGTTGCTCTAATATTGTCATCTGTTGTTCCGACTGGAACTTAAAGAATTCCCGGAATATATTTTTGCATTTCTCCATCTTCGCAAAAATTTTACCCAATGCCAAAATACTGTAGAGGTGGGGGCCCTACGAATTTGCAATTTGTGACCTATTTGAGCAAATTGTATTATCGGGAAAAAAAAAATTTCTTTTCTCAGTTGAGAGTACAACAGATTTTTTCATCACTAAGCTGACATTTTGGCTTGCGAAAACTTTGGCAAGTTTTTTTTTTTTTTTTTTTTTTTTAAGTGTGAATCCGAGATTTGTCGTCGAAGTTATTGTGGTGAGCAAATTTTTCTTCCACCGTATGAGTTCAAATCCCTCGTCGCCAAATTTGTTGTGGAGTTATTTCGCAGTGGAGGCTTGTATTTGCACTAAATCGGTCCTAAATAGTTCAACGTACAAAATGTTAGGAACTTGATATAATAGGTATTACGCAGAGTAATCTTGTTGTGGTCGCTGACTACTTTTGTATTCGACTAACTGTCGTCCGACATCGACTGACCGTTATTTCTCTTACTACTCCTACTTATATTAGGTGGGAGAGTCTATTAACTATAGAATAGGTGTGTTTCACCATAACAGCCAAGCTCTCAATCTATCTCAAGTGAGGTTATCTTTTCCGTTACATAAAGCCTACTACTACAATTTTAAGGCGTTGCTGTCATTGTCGTTTATAGCTGTTCCCAATTTAAATTTTTTTATTGTCCTGCCAGTTTTGCATTGCATTCATCATAGTAATAAGTAAGATTGCTTTTTTATTACTCAACATTTATTTTTCCAACCTTTCCTAAAGTTATTTGAGTTTAGTGATCCCTGTAGCTTTACAGCGTTCTATTTGCCCACGCATTCCATTTAATAATTTATACTTGCCTAAGACATACCATCAAAGAAAAGAACTTGCTTAGGTTGGAAAACTGCTGCCACCAGGTCTGCCATGCAAATAAGAGATAACGAATTGTCTTTAAAACGTTCAGTTGGCCTGTCTCAAAATGCCTTTCGGAATGCTTCAATCAGAGCCACTGAGTCCGAAGATCAACGTAGCCATCGGCTTTCCAGAAGAGCATACCTGAATGCTTCTGCACACAAGGCTCAAAATGATGATCAAAGGACTGAGGAGAAACGCCTCTTCAACTGCCACTGTGCGTGAGTCTGAAACAAGACCGAGAACGCAAAAACGGCCCTTTTCAGGACCACTCCCCATTCAAATTGTTAATCCCTCATTTGGGGATGTGCTTTAGTTGCACCCAATTGTTGTTACTAATTGATTTTCAGGCGGGCTGACTTTAAACTTAACCTGCTCCAAATGAACAGTAAAAATTCCCAGTAATGAAAGACCTGGTCGAAGATGGGTTATATTGCTAGTATATAACATAGGTAAACAATTTAACTGAAAAAATTGAAAATAAATACAATACAGTGTAACCCGGATATAAGAGAAACCCGGATATAAGAGAAACCCGGATATAAGAGACCCGGATATAAGAGAAACCCGGATATAAGAGACCCGGATATAAGTGAGATTGTCTCTGGTCCCAAATTAGAGCCTGTGTTAATGTATATATAATAGACCAAACCCGGATATAAGAGAAACCCGGATATAAGAGACTTCTTTTCCGGTCCCGACAACTCTCTTATATCCGGGTTACACTATATATATATATATATATATATATATAAAGAGACCCGGATATAAGAGAGATTTTCTCTGGTCCCAAATTGGAGCCTGTGTTAATGTATATAAAAGAGACCAAACCCGTATATAAGAGAAACCCGGATATAAGAGAGATTGTCTCTGGTCCCAAATTAGAGCCTGTGTTAATGTATATATAATAGACCAAACCCGGATATAAGAGAAACCCGGATATAAGAGACTTCTTTTCCGGTCCCGACAACCCTCTTATATCCGGGTTACACTGTATATATATATATATATATAAAGAGACCCGGATATAAGAGAGATTTTCTCTGGTCCCAAATTGGAGCCTGTGTTAATGTATATAAAATAGACCAAACCCGGATATAAGAGAAACCCGGATATAAGAGAGATTGTCTCTGGTCCCAAATTAGAGCCTGTGTTAATGTATATATAATAGACCAAACCCGGATATAAGAGAAACCCGGATATAAGAGACTTCTTTTCCGGTCCCGACAACTCTCTTATATCCGGGTTACACTGTCTATCGAAACATAAATTGAGGCATATGTCATAATAAATTCTTCCATCTTAAATAAATCAACAATGTTTTGCAACAATTTTTAACAACAACTTGAGATTTTTCTTCTTAAAATGTTGAATATAATTTTAACACATTCAACATTATGGATAATAAAGGGGGAATTATATATAGCATTTTTTGGGGGACTTAACTTGAGCAACAAAAAAATTCAGGGATATGGACAAAAACAAAAAGAAAGATCCCAGGATGACGTCAAAATTTGTGAAAATTTATAGACATGTCATTTTAATTCAACAGCGGCAATATCAACATTATGGATAAAAAAAAATAGTGAATTTTATATAGTTTTTTTTTTTTTTTTTTGAGATTTAACAAATTCAAGGATTTGGCTGAAAAAAACAAAAAACAAAAATAAAACAGAATGATGTCAAAATCTGCAAAAAAAGTTTTCATGTTTTAATATTCAGTTGCGTGTTTTTTTTTTAATTTGTAGGTAGAGAAAAGCAAATGTTGACAAGGTCACAAAGCACTGCCTGGGTCACTAATCAAGCTGTGTCAAATAAGAACAAACACACATTTTGAACACTTATACATTTTATTTACTAATGACAATAGATGTAAAAAATGACCAGTGATTACCGGTAGATTGAAATGTGACATGTGAGGATGCGTGACTGCTATCTTGAAATCCATTTTCTTATCGTCTTACAGGGTTCCGAACAAGGGGGATAACTTAGTTCCCATTTAGGTAGGGAGTTAGCTCCCTTCCTGAAGTTACACTACACTACAGGTAATTTCAAGTGACATAGCTGAACGAAAAGATAGGAAATTATTTTTTGGTCAGGGAAAAAGGACTGATAATTTAGTCCAGATGATGAAGACTAAACAAAGATGTCAGAGAAAAAACACGTACCATCATGAAAGATAAAAAAAATAGACGATTGTACTTAGTTACTCACTTTCTTTGTTCAACGATTCAGAAATTTTCTTTTCTTCTGTGAAATTTTCTTCTAAAAGATTCATATCCAGTCTTGCGCTGATGTCTGTTAAATCACCCCAGATAGTCTTACACATCTGTTGGGTAGAAATTTGAAAGGAGCATGACTGATTGAAATACAGTTGACACAGATGATGAAAGTTTATAAAAATGATTAAAAAAAAAGCTGAAGATGTGGTGGTGGGGGGAATTTAAAAAAATTAAGGGAAATAACTTTTCAATTAAAAGAAACAGCTCATGAATTGAATTTTTTAAAATCATTTCACCCCGAGAAAGGCAATAAAGCCATTAAGACACAAGAGGTTACCGAGTGTTAGAGAGTATGTAGAAAAAAAAAGAAAAATATTATTAAGTAGAGAAAATAAAAAAAAGAAGAGGAATTAAGAAGACAGAAGATAACGATTGAGGTGGCATTTAAATCTTTGAAAATCAAACTTGATTGGGAAGCGAGAAGCCTTTTGGATTTAATTTAATAAGCAAGAGGCCAGAAGAGATTTCCACAAGCTAGAAGTGCAATAGAAGAAACTATTAGCGTAGAACTTGTGGTAACATTTAACCATTTCAACTGTAAAATGATAAGAACTTGCCACCAGTCTAGCACTTCCTGAAGGTGGTATGTGATTCGAAATGTTGATAATCTAAAATTATTTTCCCCATAGAAATCAATGATTTTCATTGACTGATTCATTCATTCATTTTTATGGTTTATCAACCCTTTGTAGGTTATTTAAAGCCAGAAGTATCTTTTTTACATTGTGTAGAGGGCCATGGCTGTGATGCTGTGAAGTCAGACGTAGAAGAAACGCATGTAAGGTTCAGATTTTTCCTACATAAAAAGGTTGGACTTGAATTAAGTCCAAAGAAGAAGGCAAAGAAAACAAACAAAACACAAGACCGATAATATATGTATATACAAATATATATTAATAACAAGTTACAATACATGGAAAGAGTACAAAGGACGAAGTTTATGTGAATATTCTGTATGTGCGTGCGTGTGTGTGTATTTTGCTTAGCGTGTTTCCACGCTATCCCTTGTTAGCGCCTACATTTCGAGGTTGATAGCTGAAAGCCTGAGGAAAAAGAGAGATTTACCTCCAGGTGTCCACGCGAAGGCGTGAGGGAAAAAAAGAGAGAGAGGCGAAGGGTCAGCGGCTATTTATAGCAGCAAAGAGCGACCCCTGGTGAAAGGGTTACGAACTGAAGGAGGAGTTAACTCCGACAATTGTAAGAATTTTTTTTGACATAATGATTTAAGGATACAAGTCTTATTAGTTAACCCATAGCTGGGGGGAGACAAGCTGTATTCATACCTTTCCCAAGGTTATTTGCTTGCAAGTGAATATAACAAACCTGACTGAAATTGGAACTCAGGTCTCTGATTAACAACTCCGTGCCATTATCCATTACACTACCAAGTTTACAGCACCTAATATTACCAAGCAGTTACCCATCTAGGTATTGACCATGTTTGACATTACTTAACTCCAATGTGAAATGGATTAATCTGTTCTTGGATTTCAGATGATTGCTTATTTAAACTATTACGGCAGTTCTTTGCATTCAAGTTAATACACAAAACTAATGAAAATTAAACTAATGATGATTAAAAATTTTGACATAATTCTGGAATCATTTTTTTGTTGTTGTCCAAATTCATGTATTTGTTTTGCTCATACAATATCTCAAAACACATTTATATAGAATTCACTATTTTTTATTTTTGGAGTTGATACTTAACTCATTAATACTCTCCAGTATTAATTGTAAAAAATATAAAAAATCGATATTAATTATAAATTCTCATCTATGACCCATTAATGCCTAATGTCTCATTGAGGAGCCAGTGGCTGTTAATGGAGGAAGTCCTTGCTATCAGCAAACTGGGTATTATGCAGTCATCAGTAGGAAAATTTATATATTTCACCAAATTATTAGTAGGTATTGGATATTTCACAAGGATACTCATGTATACAGGGCCTGCGTGTACTACCCACAAAACTCCAACCGGGAGGGGTCAAGTTTGATTGAGGGCCCCTGGCAGTGTTTTATAACCATTTGCTATCTTATCAACATTTCCTTTTTTCTACCTACCCTTCTATAAGTTACAAATTAAACTAAGTGCAACCGGTTATTAAAGAAGGAAATATTTTGCAGATTTTGACGTCATTCTGGAGTTTTTTTTGTTCAAATCTGTGAATTTGTTTTGCTCATGCTAAGTAAAAAAAAAAAAACGCTATATAAAATTCACAATGTGAATGTGTTAAAATTCTTAAACATTTTAACATGAAAAATCTCAAGCTGATGTAAAAAATTGCCGTAAAATATTGTTGATTTATTTAATATGGAAGGATCTATTATGACATGTTTCAAATTTGGACTTAGATATATTATATCTATTTTTCATTTTTTTAGTCATGTTTTTCACCTCTATTTCATCCATTATTGTAGACAATTAGGTTACAATAAAATTTGTATTTTATATAAATACTATCTCATGAAAATTGATATTTAGTATAATGGGGGTGGGCCCGTATCGTAAATTCTGGGTGAACGGGGCCACAAGCAGTAGGTACCATAAGATGTGACATCCCCGGACATCCATATCAGGAGGACATCCAATCAAAGAGTGAAATAAAAATTTAGTTTATATTCAATTTGAAAAAAAGAGTTTCATCTGCTTTTACATATTTAAAATGTCTTCCTTTCTCACATTTCTCAGTACTTGAGTCTTAGGGGCATACAATCAAAAAGATGGCCCTGGCCATCACTAAACCTCTGCATATCACTGGGCACTAGACCCTTGTACCAGACTTGGTTGGTCCTGTTTCTACTGTGTCCAAGTACATCTGCATTACTTGACCTAAGTATTGAACTCTCAATTACTATATGACCAAATCGCACTGTCCCACAATCCTTTTGGCTATCGTTACACAAGATAATCCTGAAGCTAAAATTTTAGGGATTTAAGCCTAAATGAATAAATTTATAAATACAGGATGTGGCACAGATGTTGTATATTGGTTCTGGACTCAAATAAGGCGACAAATACTCATATATAAAAATATATAAATAGCTTTATTGTTTGAGTCACAGAAATTGCATAGAGTGAGGGAGAATCATATAGGTTGGGATTGTGAACACAGGAATTGAAGGAGAGAAGATCTTCAGTCAAACTCTAGCCAGCCCCTCTCTTAGGTTAAGAGTTGGACTGTTTTTATATCATTTCAACTTCATGCAGCTACGCCTTCTTTCGGTATGTTGCCTATGCAACTTCTTGTGGCTGTGCCTCTTCTGGCCATGTGCTCACACAACTTTGTGTGGCCATTTCCTTCTGTTTAGGACACCTTTGTACCCTGTTTATTTAAGGCTCAGGACACTTGTACGTCCTGTTTATTTTAGCCATTTTCTATTTATGCTACCACCAATTCCAATTTTTACTCACTTTCTGATGCAGTGGAAGGGAGGTCAAAGGTCTTCCTCAATTGATATCCGACACATATATCTCCCAGAATTACTTCCTACATGAAGGTAACTTATTAACTAGACGATGACATTATTGTCATTAATGTCTTACCATTGTGCGGGAGGTTAGAAATAATGAAAAGAGTACTGAACTGTTATGTGACATCAGTCCTCCTATATGACAGTGAATGCTGAACAATTTCCTCACAGATGAAGAAGAGATTTGAAATAAAAGAAACAGAAAAAAGTACTGAACTGTTATGTGATATCAGTGCTCATATATGACAGGGAATGCTGAACAATTTCCTCACAGATGAAGAAGAGATTTGAAACAAAAGAAAGTACTGAACTGTTATGTGATATCAGTACTCATATATGACAGTGAATGCTGGACAATTTCCTCACAGATGAAGAAGAAGCAACAGAAACAAAGAAAAGAGTACTGAACTGTTATGTTACATCAGTCCTCATATATGACAGTGAATACTGAACAATCTCCTCAAAGATGAAGACACTTGAAGCAAAAGAAATGTAGTTCTACAGCAGGATACCGAGGATACCATAACCAATGAAAATGCACTGTCACCTCTTGTGTGTTTTATCTTTTTTGCAGGACTTGTGACCACCAATTGACCTAAGTTGTATTTCAGAAATATATGAAATATTTCCAACACTTATGTGGCTGTTTTTTAGTTGAGAAATTTTGTTTTTAATTTGTAACTTTAATCTATTTTCTTCTATTTTACATTCCAACCTGACCTTTTAGGCATAACTTAAGAGTATGGGTTAAAAATTAAGAGTATGGGTTAAAAATTAAGAGTATGGGTTAAAAATTTAGCAACAATTACTCACCTCTTTTGGAGTTATGTTTGGTACATAGAAATGCTTAAGTCTTCTGTCACAATGAGCCTTCAATATAATTTTTGATTTCTTGGCCAATCCTGGCATAGGGGGAGCTATAGGAGGTGGGGGAGGCACAGGAGGAGTTGGTGCAATTCTAGAAGGTACTGGACATGGAAGTGAAAGTGATTTAGAATTAGGTGATAGGGGAGATGTAGAAGGTGATTTGGGATGCACAGGAGACAATGGGGGTTTATGAGGAGATGGCAAATTTGACCCAGAATGAGATCTGCCTTTCTTTTCAGGAACATTTAATTCATTTTGGGGTCCTGCAGTTTTTGGTCCTGACTTTTGAGGAACTGAAACAACTGGTAATGCATCTTTTGGAGGTAATGAAGGCTCTGAAATTAAAAAAATGACAATGAGAACAGTGGTGAGTCATATGTTTGAAAGCACATATGCCAAGCTATGAAGACCTCTTTAGTATTAAATGAATATGCTATTAAAGAAGATAATACAGAAAGGAAAAGAAATGACAGCAAGGCTTCAACATCAGCAAATGCAGTAAAAAAAATAAAAACCTCAGTTAATGCAGTCAAGCATAAGCAGCAGTGTCATCATCAGTAAGATTAGGTTCAGGGCTCCAAGTTCTCCACTCATGATTGTTAATTGAACAATAACATAGTGGATTAAAGTGTTGGTTTGTGAATTTGATGACATAATATTTGTGGTAATAGAGATATAAATAAATGAAAATAAATAACAATAAAACCAAAATTTCTAAAAATAGATGGATAATAAAAGTCAGCATGCAAACAAAGCCATAATTTGACCAACCACTCGGAAAGCTTTCACAATCAGGATATAAGGTTGTAAGCCAATGAAAAGGGAGCAGCCTTTTCAAAGTGGACTTATAGATGCGTATATAAACAGATAGAAAATTACCCAAAATCATAGTCAATAAATTAATTTTTTTCATTCTCTGATGATGCAGTCATTGTAACAAAACCAGAGACAAAATACATTTGCACAACTAACTGGTGATTTTACAAGGCTACACCATCTTGCTACAGTGAAAACAAACACACTTTCCTCCACCACATGGTCACACAGCACCTACTAGATTTATATATATATATATATATATATATATATATATATATATATATATATACACTTCTTCTCAAGCTCTTTCCTTATCTCTTGTATACACTAGTACTTTTACACTTTTGAATTTTCACCTTATTCTTCTGTATTATTATATTATGATATGTGAAAACATTTTTGTATTTTTCAAAACACTGTGCATTTTCTTTAAATCATTTCACAAGGCAATAGGAGTAGATAGGTTTGCCTATGGCTCAGTTCACACTCCTCCCTGGTTTTTGAACAGTATAAGTTTATACTTTGTTTCTTGTTTAGGATTGGGTTTCTCCTTCCTCCTAAAGTTTACTTCAACTTTATAATTCTAATGTATTGCTTGAATTCTGAAATTTTATTTATTAATTATTTATTTATTTTCTATTCTATTTTATTTATTTATTTTTCTCCTCAATAAGATTAGATAGGTTCGCTTATCACTTGGTTCATACTATTCCCCAATCTGTTACTCGTTTCTTCTGAAGTCTTTTCATTCTCTTTCACTCCCAGTAGCCTCTTGTGTCTTAGTGACATTATCGCCAAGGCTGGGATAAATTGATTTAAGAAAGAGATACCCAAATTAAATATACTGATATATGGGGGAAAACCAACACTGTCATATGATAAATAGATTATTGATTTTTCTTATGGTTTATCAACCTTTTGTAGGTTATTGAAAGCCAGAAAATATTTCTTTTTAAATTGTAAGACCTTTCTGGAGATAATAATGATTTATTGATGCAAGTCCTACTAATTAACCCATATGTGGGGGCATAATAGATGAATTCTAATCTTTCCCAAGGGTATTTATCAACACTTTCCAGGTTATTGAAAACCAGAAATTATTTCTTTTTAAATTGTAAGACCTTTCTAGAGATAAGATTTATGCAAGTCCTACTAATTAACCCATATGTGGGGGCATAATAGAGGTATTCCTATTTTCCCAAGGGTATTTATCAACACTTTCCAGGTTATTTAAAGCCAGAAAGTATTTTCAGACTGTAAGAATTATTTTTTGAGATAATAATGATTTAGTGATACAAGTCTTACTAATTAACCCATAACTGGGGGATAAGAGTTGGATTCATACCTTCTCCAGGGGTATTTTCTCCCAAATGAATATAACAAAACTAACTGGAATTTAAACTTGGCTATCTGATTAAAAATATTGAGCCATTATCTTTTATGTCACCTATACATCCAAGCTTACATCACCTGGTATTCCCTAGTGGTCACCCATTTAGGTATTGATCAAGTTCAATGTTGCTTAACTCCAGTGATTGTACAGAACCAATGTTTCAACATGATTTGGCTATAAACCAGTATATAAGGAAGGAGTAAGAAGTACATATCAGGAGGCTATGGAGGATAGATAAGCGTTAACCCAAGAAGAGGTTAAAATTGTAGTGATTGTGAAAGCGTCCTTTCAGGAGTCTGTTACATAAAGTAACTGTTCTGGAGAAGAAGCTGTCTGAATAGAACTTCCTCCTTGACAATGGAATATGAAAGGAATATGGTTCTGTCAATTCAGTGTAAGTGTAGAACCCATTCAAAAAAAATCAATAGATTAAGTAGTATCATTAAGATCTCAATTCTGAGTAAAAGTCAGCATTAGCATTTATTAACCAATCAGCTAGTTTGTATCAGGTGCAGCTCAAAAGCTTTGAAAAAGCAGACAACCATTCCTGTGTTGTATCCTCAAAAAATGAAGACTCACATCTAGAAAAATCATTAGCAATCCTTTCCTACCAAAAAATCAATATTAAAAATTGGGAAATATATTTACACTATTTGGACTATTTGTTGCCATATTTATCACAATATTTCAGCCATTGTATGCTCCGGCCTTCTTCAGGTGGTTGGAATGTTGAACTGAATCCTTTATTTCGCTCACTGGGGTAAACTGTTCTAGTTCCACGTGCCATGTCTAATGGATGTCAGTTATCAGTTAACTATTGGTAATTAAGTTCGCCCGTCATTTGTGATGACTGAAATGGATTAAAGTACTTGCTTTCATCCAGTTCTCCAGTCTACCAACTGAACTGTTGCTAGTGATCTCTTCTCTCTGTCTTGTTAGTATGTCGTCATGCCAATAATGCGCTCTGTCGTCTCCCTCCCAGACTTGCTATTTATGCCCACATCAGGGGCGACTACAATTTGTATACAAGACTTACTTCTCTAGGCCAAGACTTCTGGTTTTATAAATTCAAGCTGGTTTGAATTCTTAGTTTTTTTTCTATTATTAATTTTTTTCCTCTGCATGTCCGCCCGTGATCTTTCAACAGGACCTGACACGCCAAGCATATTTGCTTTCCGGTAGGTAAGTCTTCTCGTTCCTCACACTCTCCACTGATCTCATTATCACATAGATGACAGGGTGGGGGAGAACGCCTTAGACGAACACTCCTTTGTAGAGGTAGAGGGGATGCTTCTGGTGGCAGTACTGACATGTCTACGTTCTGCGGGTCCTTGGCATTTTCGGTGTCATCATGACATTCCTCGTCGTTTGAATCTGTACTCTTTGATACAGAGGGCAGACTGTCTGACTGCATTGTGCAAAACATTGTTGTCTCAGAATCACTATCAGACGATGTATCTTCGCTGTGTTAACACCCCTGAATGGTACCGACAACTTTCTTAAATCGGCCAAGTACACATCAACTGTCTCCCTGGGGAGAAGTCGCCACCAAATGAATTGCCTCCAAGCAATGGACTCATCTGTGCCAAATGCTGTGTAAAGGGCATACTTGATTTCATCCAAGTCCACTTCGTTGCCAAGTTGCTGGTAGACTGCGTTCCGGTATTAATTTGAAATTTAACTGGTCTATAGTTGTCAAAGTACGGCTGAAATAGCTTGTGGTTAATTCAGTTCACTTGTCGTTTGTGATGACTGAAATGAATTAAAGTGCTTGCTTTTGTCCAGTTCTCCGATCTACTAACTGAGCTGTTGCTAGTGACCTCTTATTCTCTCAATCTCGTTAGTACGCATGTATGCCATCACGCCAACAATGTGCTCTGCCATCTTCCTCCCAGACTCGCTATTTATGCCTGCATTGGGGGCAACTAAAATTTGCATACGAGACTTACTTTTCGTTCGCCCAAGACTTCCGGTTTTATAAATTCAAGCTGGTTTGACTTCTTAGTCTTTTTTTTTTATTTTTATTTTTTCCTTTGTACATCTTCCCGCGATATGGGAATTTCGGAATAATCCATTTCTCTTTTAATGCCTTTTAACAGGACCTGACACGCCAAGCAAATTCACTTTGCGAGAGGTAAGTCTTCTCGTTCCTCACAAACTCCTTGTGTCTTAGTGGCTTTATTGCCTTGCAGGGGGTGAAATGACTAAAGAAAAACTACAATTCCAGATTTTTGTTTTAATGGTGTGGATTAATGACATAAGGATATACAGTAGCTTGGATTACACTCATCAATCTCTTCAATCCCCAGCCCAACCCCCCTAGATATTTAACTAGGGCGGAGGGAGCTCCTCAGCCTTTGCTGACAACTAAGTAAGACAGCTCTGAATTCCAAACCAGTTGGGCATGTACTATCAACTCTGCTCCATGAACAAATCTAGTTGCAATGGAAACCACAGCAATCATGCATAGCAAGTTGAGACTCAATACACCAAAACCGGGGTGTATGGAACTCAAGAGAATGAGAGATTATTGACAAAATCACTTACTTCTAAAGGTCGTCATTTCAAGTTCTGTTGGTAGATTTAATTGAGACTGCTTGTTCCCATCATATGTATCATAATCCACAGGAGGAGATGGGCTTCTAAAAATAAAGGATAAATAGAAAAATAGGGAAAAAAATTAATTTGCTATAATTCAGTGAGAGCAAAGCTTAATTCATTTAAATATATTTATTATCAGTTTAGTATTATACAAAGAACCATAAAACAAAGATTCATAGCAAAAAAAAATTCTTATTCCCTCCAAAATTCTTTAGTGAGAATCTTCAATGCTTAAAGTGTCTGCCAGGATAGGGGGGGTTCTATCACTCACTACACCTGCTCCATCACTGACAAGTTGTCAGCAAAATTTTCCTACTGTGGACAATAAAAGTAGCCAATATAGACTATATGCATTGTGCATATAAGAAAAACCTTTCTACTGCTGATTTGACTTTTAGTAAGTGTTGTGGACCCAGAATAGGTCCGAAAGAAAACTCGAACTCAGCAATTTAGTGAAAACATATTATTAACAAAAAGAACGATTACAAAAGTGTTGCACGTCCGACTGATGGCAAAGTACAGTAGTCAACTCATCAACTGTAGACAGCCCTCTTGAGAGGCATAATCTCCCCATATATATAGTAATAGGACGAGTCCATTTAGAGAATAAAGGTAGGTCCCATAACAGTAAGAAACAGTGTGACTTTGTTGTATTGGCCTGAAAATAACTGTGGAGATAAATACAGCAACACAATGACAGAATAGTTACTAGTTGAAACACCAGTTCGAGCCACGTATGATGTCATGATAATGTCGTAAAAAGGATAGGTAGAAAAATTAATTCAAAATTAGTTTATTTTTGGAATACGAAAATGGAAAGAGAAGAATTAAATAAATTGGCAGGTTGTAAAAAGTGGAAAATAAAATAAGCAGGGTTTGGGAATAACAATGGATAGGTTGGGGAAAAAAAATTTAAATCATCAGGCCTGTCTGGGATGGAAGGGAATTTCATAAATTTAAAAGTTTCTTATTTATTAATATCTTTATCTTGTTCTGATCATTATGTTTCAGCCAATATGTTCTTTGGCCTTCCTATGTGCTTTGAATTTGTATTTTATTCTTTAATTTTTAACATATAGTTGGTTTGTAATTTTGCTTGATTCATGCAATGTCTACGGGGTAAATGGACCTTGCTTAGTTTTGAAAGCTTTCTATGGCTGAGGAATCTAAAATATACTGAACTGTTCCAAACCATGTTGGAAGGTATATTTATGAAGACTCTCAAATACACAGGCCAGTAGATACAAATGTACACTGTTTAAAAATAAGAGGATCTCTACTAAAACATCGGTATCCACTAAAGATAATATTTAAAGTAAAAATAAATACATGTACAGGGTGTGGCAAAAATACTTCCCCAAAATCCCACTTCTTTATGTCTCATGTCCCTTCAAGATATAGGCGATCATGGCTTTCCACGATTTCCTGTCCTTTGTAGCTTCAGCCAGTATGTTCTTTAGCCTTCGTATGTGTTGTGAATTTGTATTCTATTTTTTGTTTTTTAACAAAAACATGTGATACCTAGAGGATAAGTGAACTTTGCTTGGTTCTGAAATCTTTCCATGGCTGAGTAGTCTAAAGCACTCCAGGTCTGAGTGGTTTCTCCTCTATGTGAGATGCAGTTTCAAAATTTGCTAGAGAATCATTTTCTTTATTAAGACTCTCAAATACACAGGCTGGTAGGTATAAACTTACACTGTTTCAAGAATAATAATGTTTACTCAAAAATGGCCACCCACTAAATATAACATTTAAAGAAACAAAAGTATTTTAAAATTTATTTATTTAGGCTTAAGGCATTAAAATTTCATGAGAGAGGTTGGGCCTACATGTGTCATTTACCTGAAGAAGAGTTGGAAGCCATGGCATTTGACAAAGACCCGGGTGAGGAGTCATTCTGCAAATGGAAATCTGTAGCAAACAATGTACAGGAAGAGAGAGAGAGGAGAGTAGAAAGATGATGAGCAGCTGTGAACAGGTTGAGATTATCACAGTGCTACAGTGACTCGTACAGCAGCAACAACAACTTAAAATTAACGACACTGCTCGCCCTGTACTGCACTGAGAGCAACAGTCACTGAAGTCACCTGCAACTCCACCTGAACAAACATGACTGCAACACTACCACAGCCCAGACCACTATGACACTTTGAACCCATGCACATTAGAGTAATTGATTGTGGCTTGGATTGAGGAATCAGAAGGAGAGCATTGCATTCACTTATCAGAAGGAGAGCATTGCATTCACTTATCAGAAGGAGAGCATTGCATTCACTTATGCCTTGGGAAACGTATGAATCCAACTCTTCTTACTTGAGGTATGGGTAAATACTGACTGGGTTCTTGGAATGTGACCAGTCTAGAGATGATCTCAATAAAACCACCTATCTCCCAGCAGTCCTGCGCTACTCGTGGGGATACATCGGCTCATGAAACTCACCTCTTGCCTTTACAATTGACAAACACATCTGCTACAGTTACTTTCTTCAAAATGCCCATGGGTCACATGCAGAGCAGGATTATCATTTTGTCTCTTCATCACCATTCCCCTTAATTAATACTTTCGTTAACGTTCCCTTTAATTTATATTTTCATCTCTGTTTTTCTGTTGATTTTTTCACAACTTTACTTTAGGCATTTCTCTACCGCAATAAACAGAGTGTGCAAACGACAAAATAAAAGATAAACCTTTCATGAGATTCAAACTGCAATCAATTTTGTCTCAGGGAAACATGCAGAATACTAGGTTTGAATCTGATTTGAACATACAGGTGTCACAATATTTAAAAGAAAAAAAACATGACACTTACCTCATTAATTTTTTTTTCTCCTGTGAATAGAACAAAAAGAAAGTAAAATATGTACATATATTTTCAAAGATATTTTCAAATAATTACATGGGATACTTTTAGAAGATAAAGGCTGGCTGTATATGAGTAGCCAATCCCTGTTGCAGACGCCTGCTCAGGCACATTTGTGTTCATTTAACACCCACAGAGCCCACTGTAGTTTATCCTGCAACTATGCTGAGTGAACCTTATTTACAGTTTCTGGGAGAGAGCATATTATCTGGCGGGACCAACACTCTGAACAAAGCCAGTATCATGACTTGCAACTTCATACCACAGACGGCTTCCAAATAATTCTGTCAACCCAATTTCACTCACAAGGCTTAAGTCAAACCATGTTATGGTTTTCAGGCACTTTCCAAAGACCCTACATATTAGGATTGCCTCTATAGGCTGATAACACCTTCCTGACAAATTGACTATGGTGAGATTCGAATACGAGTCTCATGGTCGGAAAACGAACATTCTAACCACACAGCCATGTGCCAATAGATAAAAGATACAAGTATTAGAAAATAGCAAACATTTTATATAGTTACTGTTGTGGATTCCGTAAATGGAATCCTGCACAAATAAATAAACAACACCAGTAATTGAGATAGAAAAACAAGTGTATTAAACATAAGAATACAGACTTGAAGTGAAGATTAGTAGTCCAGGAATGCGTGTTAGTAGAAAGTATATGTACAAGTCTCTGTAAGTAATCCTCTCTCTCTCTCTCTCCTCTTGTGTAACGCTCTGAGAACACCCTGTGTCTGTCTCCGTATCTCTCAACCTGTCTCAACGTATCTCCACATATCTTAATGTATCTCCACGTATCTCAACAGCAGATATTCTCTCTGTCAGTATAAGTATACTTTGGGCGAGTCCATCTTATGTAAAAAGGGGAAAGCCCCACAACAGTTACAAAAAGTAAAATAAATCTATTCATGATTTTTTAAATTTAAATTTCATATTCATAAAACAATTTGCAAGAGACGGCTCTTTCTGTTTCATTAAGAAAATCTTCAATGTTTTCTTTTAGTGCTGCATAGGATGATAAAGTACATCCAACAGGAAGGCCTCTGTTTTGGGAGATTGGAGGTTTTGAGGGGTGTGAAGCCACGTCTTAATGGCTGTTGTTCCCAGACCCAGGGTAGTAACACCTGTTAGAGTCCTAGCTATGGGCAAATAGTTAAATCCCCTAAACAAAACATAAAATTATAAAAATACATTTTTATACAAAAATTACCAACATCTGAGATGGGGTATTATGTACATCTCATCTTTGTTGCCATATTTGTTACAATGTTTCTGCCGTTGTACACTCCAGCCTTCTTCAGGTGGTTGGAATGTCGAACTTAACGCTTTATTTCACTCACTGGGGTAGACTGTTCTAGTTCCATGTTTAATGGATGTCAGTTATCAGCTATCTCTGAAAGCTCTCCACTGCCTCAACTGGGTATTGAACTCACACTATTTGGGTCCTGTCACTGGATATAACCAACGCCTTTATCCACTGTGCCATGTGTCCTTGCAGACACCTGTGCATGAATTTCTGGGTATTATAAACCTAATGTCGTCAGCAACCATTTTTACCAGCGCTCATATTGCTCATAAAAAATTAACAACAATACATATTTATAGTAAAACTACCAACAACACACACATACTAAGAAATTGTCACAACTACAACCAACCAACATAAAAGAACTTTCAGGACATTAAACCATTTAATATCCTTCTTTTATATGCTGTGTCCCTTCAGGATGTAGGCAATTATGGTTCTCCACATCCTTCTGTCCTTTGTAGCTCTTAATAAGTTTTGTCTGTCTGTTATCTCTCTCAGACTTATGACTGCAAGCAAACATTGGGAAAAAGGACAATATCAGTAGTTCAGCATTCGATTTGCTCACGCCCATTAAATATGTCACGCATTGCTTTCCCCTGTCCCTCTTTCCCTCTATCCGTCTTGTGAGTATCAAATTTTCCAAGTCCTCCTTCCTCATTTCATGCCGCAGAAATTTCAGCTGCCTCTTCCTGATGTTAAGTATAAGTTTCCTTTTTGTTTTCAAGCTCTCCAAAACTTTGTCATGTTCAGCCTATGGTATCCTTAGCATCCTTCTGTAGAACCATATTTCTGTTGCTTTAAGTCTCTTCTTCATCTTTGAGGAGATTGCCCAGCATTCGCTGTCATATAGGACAGATATCATGTAACAGTTCAGTACTCTTTTCTTTGTTTCTAACAAAATTTTCCTGTCTCTTAATACTCTGCTTAGCTTTTCAAATGTATCTTTGACCATCCCAGTATGTCTTTGGATCTCAGTGTCACACTTTCTGTCCACTATTAAAACACTTCCCAGGTATTTAAATTTTTATAGCTGCTTCATTCTAGTATCCCTGACCTGTAATTTACATTTTGGGCTCATCTTTTTGCTGATGACCATCCATTCTGTTTTCTTGTAGTTTATGCTTAGTCCTTTCTTCTTGCTCTCCTTTGTTACCTTCTGTAGGAGCTTTTGTAATTTCCTTTCTGTGTCTGCTATCAGCATTGTGTCATCTGCATATATTGTTAAGATTGTGGCTGTCAATGTTGAATCCTGGTAGGATTTCCAGTTCTCTAAGAATTGCCTTGCTATATAGGTTGAATAAGCCTGGTGAGAAGACACACCCTTGTCTTTCACTCCTTTCTATCTTTGTCTATCTGCTGAACTCATTTTTTATCTGCATGCAGGTGGTTTGCTGCAAGTATAGATTTTTTATTATTCTAATGTCTTTCCTGAATATGTCAAGGTTGCTGAGCAACTCTAACAGATCTTTGTGGTGTACTTTGTCAAATACCGTTGTGTGGTCTATAAAACACAGGTACACATCCTTCTGCATTTGTGTTGCTCTTTCTGATAACATTTTGAGCATAAATATCATGTTCCTTGTTCCAATGTCTTTAATGACCTGCACTGTTCTTGTCCTATCTTTGGGCTGATTCTACTGCATGCTTTATTCATCAGAATATGGATGATGAGTTTAGTTGTGTGGCTCCTTATGTTGATTGGGTTGTTCATATTCGTTTGTGCCTGGTTTCTTGAGCAGTGCTATGAAAATAGATCTGCTTAGGTCTTCTGGTATATCCCCACTGTTGTAGATTTCATTTATTATTTCTGTAATCTTGTCTATGCCAGAATCGTCGAAGGCTGCCAGCATCTCTATTACAATTCCGTCTGGCCCTGCTGCTTTCTTTCTGTTCAATTTTGGCCAGTGAAGTTTTTTTTAATATTTCCTGTCTGTCAGTATTTTTGTGTATTGCCAGTTGTTCTCTTTTTTCGTGAAAGTGATCTCTGATATATTCTTTCCAGTGCTGAACTATTTTTCTTTCTTCTAATATGATTGTTCTGTCCTTAGATTTTACGCATCCTGTTGATGAGCATGTCTTTCGTCCTGTTAGTTCTCTTAATTTTTTTATGCATCTCTCCTTTATCAGTGATAATCATTCTTTCTATTTCTGCTCATTTTTCATTGAGCCATTCCTCTTTACCCTCTCTTCATTTGTTTCTTATTTCATTGTGTAGTTTTCTGTATTCCATCCCATGTTTTGGCATTGTTTTCTGTCTCCTTTGCATCATATTGAAAATCTCATTTGTGATCCATTCATTTTTTCTTTTTCATCCATTTATATCCTACAATTTCTTAGATCAATCTATTTTCCAAAATATAACTTCAACAAAACTACACATCACCATCTCTAGTAATTATGTACACACAAACACATACACACACACACACACACACTATATATATATATATATATATATATATGAAGGCTTGGAGAATTTAACACTCAAAGTAAGGTACTAATAGATTATAAAATAAAATTAGAAACAAAGTTCTAATTTTGTAAAGATGTATTAGTATGTCTACAGCAGTAGAAGTGTCAATATGCATTATTTGATTAATATCTGTCCACCTAAAGATCAATATATGATCTGTTATCTTTTAACTCATTCTTGAATTGTCAGTATTACTGATGTTAAATGGTCCACTTGTAAAAAAATAAGGAAAAATCTTTTTAAAAAAATGAAAAAAATCCAAACATTGGGAAATTATTCTTATTATTGATTTTTTTATGGCTTATCAACCCTTTGCAGGTTATTTAAAGTCAGAAAATAATTTTAGATTGTAAGAACATTTTTTTGGAGTTAATGATTTTAGCAATACAAGTCTTACTAATTAACCCATAGCTGGGGAGAGAAGCGGTGGATTCATATCTAATCAGAATTTGATAAACAAACAAGAAACTGTCATATGGATATAAAGTGGGGAATCAATTCTATATTACAAGCAATATAAAAACTGATCCCTCACTTTGTATCCATAGTAGTTTTTATACATTTATATTCCAGAAAATGTAAATAAATCTAAAAGACATTGCTGTGTAGCTAATGAGCATTTCATTGATTGATCAGTTTGTTTTTTACAGCTTAGCAAACCTTTGCAGGTTATTTAAACTCAGAAAATATTTTTAGATTATAAAAAAATTGTTTGGAGATAATGATTTTAGTGATACAAGTCTTACTAATTAACCCATAGCTGGGGGAGAAGAGGTAGATATATACCTTTCCCAAGATTATTTTCATGTAAGTGAATATAATGAACCTGACTGAAATTGGAACTTGGCTCTCCAATTAACATTTCTGAGCCATTATATATTACACTACCCACACATCCGAACTTAGAGCAAATGGTATTACCAAGCAGTCATGTATATAGGTACTGACCAGGCTCTACGTTGCTTAACTTTGGTAATTGTATGGGAGCCTGTTGTTTCAATATGATATGACTGCAAGCAAACATTGGGAAAAAGGACAATATCAGTAGTATAGTTATCAATGACATGGCCCAGTTTCAAATATGACATTTGTAAATAAAAACAAAGTACATATAACTCTTTAAAATGTCAGAGATCGATTTAATATGGTTTTTATATTATGAACAATTATATTTATCTGGCCTCCTCACCAAGGTTGGATGTGACACAAGGTCGTTTTAATGTGGAGACCGCTATACACATACTTATGTATATGTACCAAGGACAAACCTTGAATTTTGTCAAGCCTCTGCGACCACTGTCATGTTGGCATCAGTATTACACCAACCCAACCTTTTTAGTGTGATGAAGAAGGTATTGCTGCTGGGTTGGAATCCCCAAGGCTGAGCAAATTCTCCCATCTGAAATGAGGAGAAACAAAGCTCTATTTACAGCACAGGGAGTGTTAACCATGCCTCACTAAAGCCTCAATGGATAATGGTTAACTCCTGTGCCATATTTCAAACAGGACCCAACTCCTAAAATGATAAAAAGTCAGTATTTTTTTCATTCTGACAAATGCTGTTCGTAGAGGAATGTCTAATAGATGTTAATCTAAAAAAATTATTCCCTCCCTCAAATTTTTCTTTATTTTTTAACGAGAGGGGACCAGATAAACTCAGTAGTGCTGAATTTTATTAAAATGTACCTAGTTTTTTGCAGTAAGTGATTCTTAAAAAAAGCCAATAAACAAAGACTCACAGAAGGGAAAAAAGATTTCCGATTTTTTATCCAATATCTTATAAATCTTTCCTGGCTGCATGCTTCTCTGAATGCCTGTAAGAAATAAACAACAACAATAAAAGACAATAGAAATTCAAGCATTAAAAACTAATAAAGGTTTACGCCAGTGTTTCCCGCCTTTTTTTTCAACCAGCACCCCCTTTTGGGCACAAGTTTTTTTGTGACCTCATATCGTCTTGCTGAAAGTTCGAACTTGATTGACCAAAGCAAGATACTTCTTTAGTTTGTCGTACACACGGTCTATCTGCTGGGGATACAGCTTAGTGTTGATGGTGTAACAAGGTGGAGCAAGCTTGAAATGCAGTACTCTTTGGAAATTCTACCAAACAGGGATCAAGATTTGTTGTTTACTTTCCACTTCTAAAATGCGTCAGGACTTTCTGGTCCAACCTAGTAAAGCGAGCAAAGAATTTCATTCTCTCAGTTATCATGATGAAGGTGGATCTGAGAGTTAAGGGTCTTTTTGTAAGGCAATCTCACTTGGGCATTTAATTATAGTTCAGGTCAAAGAACATTAATTGCTTTAAAATGCCATTTTAAAGAAAGACATTGCAAATAGATCTCTTTAATTCTGTAAAGCAATCTATCTTTGGGCTTACAATTATAGGTCAGATCAAGGAACATTCTTTGCTGCAGGTACCATGTAACCTAGTATAACTGGTGAAAAGATTGCCATTTACATAAATGCCATTTTAAAGAAAGCCATTGCAAATAGATCATTAAATAGACATTCTTTGCTGCAGGTACCATGTAACCTAATGGTTCCCAAACTTTGTTCTTTCAGTCACATTTTCAGAATGAAAATTTACTTGCGCCTCACCACATTTTATGTGATAAAAAGTACATTAAAAAAATGAAAAACAGTGAGAGGGTTAAAGGGAGATAATCATGGATTCACAATCAGAACATTATCATTGCTAACTCTTTCCTTCAATTGGCGGACACTAGTTACTATATTCTTAATCCTTGATATAATGGAAAAATATCACAATGATAAAATCAGTCAATAATTATTTATAATGGAACTCATGCCTGCAATTACAAGTAATTCAGAAAATTTTAAATTTTGAAATCATATGAATTTTTAGAAACTGTTTCTCAATCTTTGTCTTTCTATCATTTCACCTGTTATCCTCTTCTGTCACTCCTATGAGGTACACTGCAGTATTTGGGAATCAGTGAGTAACCCAATATAACTGGGCAAAGAATTCTATTCTTTTAATTATCATGATGAAGGTGGATCTGAGTGCTAAGGGTCTTTTATAAGGCAATCTCTCTTAGGCATTCAATTATTGGCCAAATCAAAGAACATTCGTTGCTGCTTGTACTTGTTAAAGTATTGTTATGGTCCAGGTTAGGACCATGGAAGAACAACACGAACACAAGAGTAGAAATAACAAAGGTATATTACACAAAATAATAATACAGGATGTGGAAGGTGTTAGTATGACTGTCAGTCTGGTTTGGAGTGAACTACTATCGGCTCGACTCGATTTAACCCTCTCTCTTGAGAGGTATAGTATACATAGTGTTAAGAAGAGTTCATTCTGTAATTATAGGTAAGGACCCGTGACAAGTATAACTGAAATAAAGTTTGCCATTCACACAAATTCTAAATTCTAAAACTTGACCTGACAGTTGGATCTCTCTATCCAATCTATCTTGGACATTGAAGTATAGGCCAGGTCAAGGAAAATTCATTGCTGCAGGTACCATGTAACCTAGTATAATCTGTTGGTTGTTATTTGAAAATGTAGTAAGCACTGCCAAGTAACTTCCATTACTTTAAAATATTCCATAAGGGGGATTAATTCAGAATGGCATATTGACAAACTTATGGGCCATAGGAATATTGTCAAAGCTGAGCAAATGATATAAAATCAAATGAAGAATATCAAACTTACAAGGATCCATGAGTTCCGTTCACCTTCTGTTCTCTCAGGGGTTTCATATTTCTTAACACGAAAACTATAATGAAAAAAAAAAACAACATTTTACGGAGTTAATTTTGGCTTGTTATCAATGTGTCATGAATCTACTTTGGTATGTAATCTACACTTTATATTGCGATCTACATGTCAAGAACACTCCACATCAAGAACAAGGAAAACACTTGTCTTTGTTTCAAGAAAATGTCATTAACAGAAAAATTTTTTTTAATATTTTAATTACATTTTCTCTATGTTATAATGTTTTACCATGTAGATATTCTAAATTAAAATTTCTACAATGGAGATATTTTAGCCAAAGTACATGCTGTTTATCGCTAGAGTATAAATAAAAATTTGCTGTGAGATAAAAAAAAGGTTAAAAAACATTGATATTGTTATATAATGTACCTGTGAGCACTAATGGGTACGTCCCAATCCCAATAAATACGTTGGACACTATTATAAGTCGGATTATATGGATTTAAGTAGTCCACCGCTAGCAGTGGTTTACCTACTTCATGCCGCTGGTGAGTATTGTATTTTGTTGATGCTATAAAGATTACCATTTCTTTTCCAACCTCCATTTTAGTTATTCTTCATTCAGTAACACTTTCTAGGTTACAACAAATATAAAAATGCATTGCCAATGATTTTTACTATAAAAATGCATTGCAAATGATGTTTACTATAAAAATCCATTGCCAATGATTTTTACTATAAAAATGCATTGCCAATGATTTTTACTTATCAACACTAATGTGTATGTCCCAATCCTCATAAATACATTGAACACTATTGTAAGTGGGGGTAATATGCTGTCTAAGTAGTCCTCAACTAGCAGTGGTTTACCTACTTCACGCCGCTGGCGAGTATTGTATTTTGTTGATGTTATAAAGATTACCATTTCATTTCCAACCTCTGTTTTGGTTATTATTCATATTAGGGGGGGGGCGATTTGAATAATCATAATTAAGTAATTCATCAAGTCTAGAAGAATCCTCAACATAATGCAGAAAAGATTGGACATCTGTTTTGTCCTATTTTGGGACTCATCAGCAGTGTGCTTCCGCTACTGAGATTCGAAACTGGTACCCACTAGACCAATGGGTCTCATCTGTTTGACTAGTGGATGCACACTGCTGATGAGTCCCAAAATAGGACGAAATGCCCGTCCAGTGCTTTTTGCTGACGATTCTTCTAGATTTGATGAATTACTTAATTATATATTGTTATGGCTGGCGTAACACGAAATAAGAAGAACCAGATTTATAGAAATTAAAGTTGAAGAAAAAAGATTACATCTAATAACGATATGCGGATTTTATTTAACATATAATACAATATTTTTTATAAATAGTCGGGCGGAGATTTAAACAATATACGTTGGGAAATGCTAACAAGTTAATAAGCATGTGAGAGCCCAGAAAGTAGTTGGCTTAACGTGTAGCTATACAAGGGAGTGGGAGATGAAATCCACTGTAGTTAAGATTAAGGCGACAGATGGGAATTTGTTGCTAGGCAAAGAATTATATTATTTTCTTCTTAAAAATAGTTTGATATTGACATATATGAAATAAAAAAGTTTGGTCAATAATATCAAGGAAAACGGGTGAAGTCTGTTCTTTTCAGGACTGTAGGAATTTAGATTCTTTCAGTCAAAGCTTTGTTCTTGAATCAAACCAGACCAGAGTCGACCTCAATAGCCGTGACAGTGGGTTCAGGAGGCAACTGGCTAGTTGATATGAACAATGTTTTTTGGACCCTTTAGAACCCAGTAGAAAGTTTTAGAGGCTTCTAGAAAGTTCCATTCTATTATTATGAAATATAAAAGGTTTGGTAAATGGGTGCTTTTCGTAAGGTAAAAAGGGCATCTAGTAGGTACAGATTTAAGTCATCATTTTAAGTTAGATTTTGAATTTTATAGTAAAAGTATAAAGAAGTAGGACAAAATAGGGCCTCGTAACAATATATATATATATATCTCGAATCGAGAACACTAACTGCTTTTATCGGCAGAACCTATTTTTTTCATTCGTCGACAGCTGGGATAGGATGTTCCGTAATTTGCATATCAAAATACTTTTATAGCGACTCCTGCGACGGACTTGTTTTTTTTTTAATTCAATTATTCCATTTTCAGCATATTATGTGGAATATGTGCCCTTTTGTTTGGTAAGTAATTTTCTTTTTCGCCACTTTTTCCGTCGTAGAATACATGCGACGCACTGTCGCTTGGTAAGTCGCCGTTTTCTTCGATATATATATATATATATAGTAAAACAAAAAATCTATGTGTTTAGTTAAACAAAAAAAACTTCCTTACTAATGGCTAGTCGTTTAGTTGAAAACACTAGTCTCCAAAGATCATTTAGACAGTTTTTTTTACACTATGTCCAACCTTGAAAAATTTAAATACAATGTCATTCATCATCTTCTGATTTCTTGAGCCCTGTTCCTTTTGGTCCTTTCCTCAGTCCTCCCTATTCTCAGCTTTTTCATTCACTTTCACACCATGCAAACCCCGGCGTTCTAGTGATTGCCTTTCTTAGGGTGAAAAAAAAAAAAACATGCTCATAATATGCAGTTCTTAGTTTCTCCTTTGCAACAATCTCACTCAGAAACCCTCTACCTTGAGTGGCCCTTAGGCCTTGTATTGGGTGAACTAAAGTAGAAAAAAGAAAAGCACTTTGGAGCTGTTATAATGGTATCAGCCAGATATACAACTTACAAATAAGATCTTTTGCCGACAGTAATAACAAAAGTGTCCTTTTCTGTTGATATTGCTTCAATTTCGGTTGAGCTATTAATCTGTACCACACCCAAAGGATCCTGAAAACAAAAAGTAAAAAAAAAAAATTATGCAAAGAAAGGATTTATGGCATAAACTATAAAAGATGTCTTTGTTTTATCATGTACCATTTTCCTTCAGAACATTGGATGGTCATAGCTCTAATTAATGTCTGTTTCCTGATTATCCCTCTGAGTGGTTAGAACATGAGACCCAGGTTTGAAACCTGGCATGGTCAATTTCCTAGGAAGGGGACTTCTTGATGTTATTGGCCTAATGAAATGATCCCAGCTTGCAGCACATTTGTAAAGTATCTGAAAACCAAGCGACGAGTTGACCGAAACCTTGTGATTGAAATTGGGTATATGAAACTATTTGGGAGTCATTGATGATTATGCTAACACTAAGTCACAAGTCGCTGTGACAGAGGGTTTGTGCGTGCTGGTCTTGTTCAGAATGTTGATCATGCCAGATAATGCACTCTTTCCCAGAAAGTGTAACTAAGGTCCATTCAGCATAGGTGCAATATAAACAAACCACAGGTGGGCTCTGTGGGTGTTGAACAAACACAAATGTGCCCAAGCAGGTGTCTGCAATAGGGATTGGCCTGCCACCCTAGTAGACAGACATACTCAGATACAAGTGGCTAGTCATTATAACTCCCACTTACACAATCACATTAGGTAGATTACTCAATGTTTCTCTCTGTCCTTCAGTATACTCTGTGAGTGTCAAATTCTCCAAACTCTCTTTCCTCATCATGTGTCAAGTAATAAGTGCATGAAAATAGTAATATAAGTAATAAATGTCTCATAATTGCAATAAATAAGAGCATAATAAAAGTAATAAATAAATGCATGAGAATAGTAATATATAAATGTGTAAAAAAAATAAATGCCTTATGATAGTAATAAATAAATAACATAATAAAAGTAATAAGTGCATAATAATATTCTTTTTTTTTTTTTAAGCAACATTTCACCCCAAGCAAGGCGGGAAGCCACTAGCACGCAAGGGGTTACAGAGAGTTGGAGCGAGAACAAATAGGAGTGATAGAAGAAAGGATGAGGAGAAGGATAGGGAATAGATCAAGGCATCTGGAGATGTCGATTGACATTATATTTAAATAGTTGGAGATTATAGCTATCAGGGAAACAAGAAGAGGGGAGGGAGCTCCACAGGCGAGAGGTGCGAGACATGAAACTATTGGAGTAGAAGAGACAGCTATATTTAATAGTTTCAACAGTGAAAGGGAGTGAGAGATGCCAGCCTAGTAGAAGGCTTAAATTCATGAAATTTGGGAACCAGCGAAAGTATTTGTAAAAAAGACAGAGGGAGGCGACTGCACGTCTGTGAGAGAGTGACTGCAGATGAGATGCCGGATCAGAGCCAATTACATTGCATATTCGTCTCTGGATCTTATCAAGAACCTTGAGACAAACAGAAGGGGCACCAGACCATATATGGCAGCAATACTCCATGCAAGAGCGAATGGTTGATTTGTAGATTTGAAGGATTGACTCTGGGGAGAAAAAATTTCCTGGCGTGGCACAGGGAGCCAAATTTTCTTGCGGTGGACGAAGCTATTGACTCAATGTATTTTTGTTCCATCTCAGGTCAGCAGTCAATTTGAGGCCGAGTAGTCGCAAAGAGGAACTCTTGAGAAGTTGAGCATCAGACATTCTAATGCGGGGGCGGCAGGGATGGTTCTCTGTGGTGAGTAATAGAGAGCAGTTTTGTTTTTGATGCGTTAAAGTTAACCAGCCAATTCCTGTATTTATGTGCAATAAAATAAATAAGTGCCTAATAACAGTAATAAATAAATATTAAAAGAAATAAATGATGCATATGTTGTAGTAAAGAAAAGACTGTCAACTGATAGTAGCAACTGCAATAGATTTCTTGTTTCTCGGCCGCAACACTTGTAGCCAAATCACAGTTCACATGATAGTCCGACATAACAGTCCAACACACACGGTAGAAACGACAAAATGGGGTCACAAATCCAACCTTCACTTCTCACCAACAACAATGCGTGTTTGTCTCACAGCGCAAAAAAAAAAATCATCTCGTTTTATAAGCGAAAAACGACTTCTGTTCACCGAGAGAATTTTCTGATTGGTCACAGCATTCAGGGGAGGGAAGAACATTAGCATAGCTTCTAGTTATTGATGTAGAATTTTGCTGACTACTTTTTGGTAATTTTTCTTCAGCAGATCGCACACAAAACACAACCTTTTTTGGGGGTACCTGATTATCTCTTTCACTACAGCATAATAATAGCAATATATAAATGTGTAATAAACAAGCACATAATAAAATTAATATATAAATAAGGCTATAATAAAAGTTATGGCATACAATTATCAATTTAGATAAAAACATGAATTACTTTTGTCATTTAAAACTAAGAGCACTGATTTTTCATTTTACAGTCAGAAAATGATTTTTTTTTTTAAATACTGACACCATAAAAAAGGATAAAATGAAAAATAAACATCTCTCACCTCTTCTTTATTTGGTTCATAGTAAGAGAATTCTCTTTCTTCCACACGTAAAAATCGTCTGAAAGATAAAAAGAAAATAAAGTAGGTATGAATTCTGGTCATACAAAATTCAACTCTCTATAAAATCTTTTAAAAGACTTGAATCATATTCTTTTATTGCCCCTCTTTTCCTTTCACTATGAGTAATCTCTTGCATCTTGGGGACTTTTATATCCTTGTTGATTGAAAAAAAAACAACTCCCTTTTGGGATATAGGTTATCATGACTCTCCACAGCTTTCTTCACTTTAATATCAGTTGTGTTATGCCATGCTTTTGGGAAAAATAGTGGAGTGCCTTCTTTGAATTTAAAACTTTCATTTGTTGCTATCATAGCCATGCTATGTCCCTTTTAGGAAATAAAGTTTGCTTTTTCAGGACTTGATTCCCTGTCTTTTTTGTACAACATTTTTCTCATTTTCTGAATAGGACATTGTCATAGGCGATCTAATTTATCCTCCCATCAATGCAGAAGGACTTTGTATTCTACCAGCATGTGTAAATAGTTTTATAATTCAGTATTAGTCATAGCAGGAAAGTAATTATGGTGCCCCTGGATGGGAAAAATGCTTTCAACCCCATTTTCACCATGGGAGTCATTATTTCTGTAATTCTATTCAATTGTGGGTGGTATAATGGTGTTTTGTTTTCCAATTTTTTTTCACTATGAACACAAAATTTCATCACAAAATTCTGGTGCATTGTCAGAGACTAACGTTTTTGGCACACCATTTCTGGTAAAATATTACTTGTAATATTTGCTTTACGATGGTTGCCTTATCCTGAACCCTAACCACTTCAGACCATCCAGAGAATGAGTCAACAAAAATTTAAAATAGTCACATGCCTTTAACCAGGCCAAAATACCATCCAACTGCTGAAAATATCCCTTTGATGGGCTTTTATGTCCTTTAAAATTGGCTCCGGTTTTTAATTTATTTTCTTTAGGTTGGAGTGGGTGCTATTGGGTGGAAATTCTGGATTGTATTGCTTATTTTTTCTTTGAGTGTGTGAGTAAAAATGGAGGGTATGTGTGGAGTCTTGTACAATTGATGGAATTTTAGTTCAGTTTTGGGTGTTCAAAGCATTCATATCTGGCCAGTGGTGGAAATTAGTGTAGAAGGAATCAGGAGATCTGGCTTTAGGAAGACTATAACATATTTTTCTCTTTCTATTTTTGTATCGCAAATACAGCTGTATTTTCCTGAAGGTTGGGCAAATTTTCTCCTCTTTCTATTTTTCTTGCTTATGCCAAATCACACTGGAAACATCGGTTCCCATTAGATCACCGAAATTAAGAAGTGTTAAACCAGGTCAGTATTTTTCCCTTAAAAATGTATTGCTGGTAATATTTATTTTCTTCAAAAATGTATTGCAGGTAATAATGTATTACTGGTAATAATTTTTCCTCAAAAAAATATTGCTGGTATTAAAACCTATTTTTACACTTTCATAGTGTTTTGACCCCAGTTTGGGGGTTAACTATTTGCCCATAGTTGGGACCCTAACTGGTGCTACCACCCCAGGTCATGGTGGACCTAGGAACAATAGCAATTAAGAGGTGGCTCCATGCTCCTCAAAAACTCCTGGTCAGAGGCCTTGCTGTAGGACGTAGTTGATCTTCTTACCCAGGACGCGGATGTAGTTTACCATCATACCCAGGACACCATCCTGGTTTGGTAGGTTAGTTTTGTTTAGTGGCATACCAACGTCAATGGGTTATTTAATGCCAAAATCTAAATATTTTATACAGAATCTTTTGTTTTTGAGATAATAATGGTTTAAATTGAAGGTGCTGTACACAAGAGTAGAAACTTTCTTAATAGATAGAATTAAAAAAAGAAGTGAATTAAAAAGCTTAGAAAACTTTGGCTGAAGATTAGAAATATGAAGAAAAATTAACTTGAAGGGAAAATAAATTAACTTTTATTTGGATACTTCATTATTCTATCTATACTAAAACTCATTTTATAGGAATGGACACTTTACTTATCAATCAATCCTTATAATGTTGATGAGAAATTAATTTCCTGAATTTTGATACCTGTTTTATTATTGGTCTTGTTGGTTGGTTGATTTCGTTTAGCAGCATATCAGCCTCTATGGGTTATTTTATGCCAAAATCTAAATATTTTGTATATAATTTTATGCTTTCAACTACAAATATTTTGTACATAATTTACACTTTCTGATGATGCCAAAGCCAAAAAGAGATCTGTAATCACTTTTTACCTCTTTCAAATTTATGGTCTTTAAACTTCTTGCTTCATGCATGGGCGACAAAACAATTAATCCATGTTTCCACAAAGTCTTGTTCATCCAATAGTGTTACAGATCCTATCTGCGATATCATATTGTTGTGTTGTCTCCTAGTCTGTGACATAGAAATTCGCCCTCTGTGTCAAATGACAACTAATTAATAGTTGCTTGACTCTATGGAAAATAGGGTAAGTGCATTTAAACATAATGGAACGCTATTAAACTCTTTACTCTAAGCATACCAGGTTACATTTAAATTCACTACATTTGAAGCACCACAGTGTGGTTGGTTAATTTTGTCTAGTAGCGTATCAACCTCTAGGGGTTATTTAATGCTGAAATCCAAATATTTTATACACAATTTTTTGTTTTTGAGATTATAATGGTTTAAATTGAAGGTACTGTACACAAGAGTAGAAACTTTCTTAATAGATAGAATAAAAAAAAGAAGTTAATTAAAAAGCTTAGAAAACTTTGTCAGAAGATTAGAAATAGGAAGAAAAATTAACTTGTAATTTTGAAAGGGAAATAAATTTCCTGAATTTTGATACCTGTTACAGTGTAACCCGGATATAAGAGTGTTGTCGGGACCGGAGAAGAAGTCTCTTATATCCGGGTTTCTCTTATATCCGGGTTTGGTCTATATGTATACATTAACGCAGGCTCTAATTTGGGACCAGAGAAAATCTCTCTTATATCCGGGTTTCTCTTATATCCGGGTCTCTTATATCCGGGTTTCTCTTATATCCGGGTCTCTTATATCCGGGTTACACTGTATAATGTAAATGCATTGCTAATGATTTTACTATAGGAATGCATTGAAAATGAAGAAGAAAGGGATTGTCAGTGGTCAGGAATGAATGCAAGCATTACTGATAGAATAGGGCTATTATATATACAGTGTAACCCGGATATAAGAGAGTTGTCGGGACCGGAGAAGTCTCTTATATCCGGGTTTCTCTTATATCCGGGTTTGGTCTATATGTATACATTAACACAGGCTCTAATTTGGGACCAGAGAAAATCTCTCTTATATCCGGGTTTCTCTTATATCCGAGTTTGGTCTATATGTATACATTAACACAGGCTCTAATTTGGGACCAGAGAAAATCTCTCTTATATCCGGGTTTCTCTTATATCTATATATGCATTGATTGTTATTTTGCTATAAAATTTTATTGTTGCTCATTTTATTGTAAAAATGTACCGTTAGTTTTTGTTTGGGTGTTCACTATTTGCCCATAGCTGGGACCCTAACAGGTGCTACCACTCAGGCTCAGAATGGACCTGGGAACAACAGCAGTTAAAAGGTATGTCCACAATCCTCAAAACCTCTCAATCACAGGCTTTGCTGCAGGATGTAATTTATCATCCTGCCCAGGACTCTAAGCATCCTGGGATAACGTATCCTATCAACTCTATCCTTTTATAGCTCTATTAATGTCCACTGTCACATTTTGGCAATGATGACCTATTAATCCATTATAAGTAAAAATCTATAATACCAGATTTCTCTGAGTTTGATCTTCACTGGGTGTTCCATACTGTTGGCCTTGTGCCACATCCAAACTATTCTTTGTAAATCACTATAAAACCAAATTTCTATAAACCTTTTTTTTATTATTTTTTAGAAACCTGTTGTAAAAAACTTTTATTTTTATGACCAATACCTATTTTTATTTTAATATTTATAATCTATAGTAGATTTAATATCAGCATTAATGGGTTAGTCAAAATTAATGGTTGAAATTTTAACAGTTAAACTGAACAGTGATTAATGACAAACATGGTAATAAATATACTAAATTACTTACTTTGACCACCGTACAATAGCTGCGTTTCCTTTTTTTTCTACAATTCCTTCTTTTAAAACTTTTCGTTTGTTTATCACTGATATGATTGAAGGTTCTGAGCCTGAAATTGATGAAAAGAAAAAAATTCAGATTAATGTCAAGGCCATAACATGATTTTTTTTAATTCATATATTCTTATCTTTTTGTTGAGATAAAATTCCTTCTTAAAGCCAATTAGAATACACTTTGCTTGGCCAGTATATACAGTGTAACCCGGATATAAGAGAGTTGTCGGGACCGGAGAAGAAGTCTCTTATATCCAGGTTTGGTCTATTCTATATGCATTAACACAGGCTCTAATTTGGGACCAGAGAAAATCTCTCTTATACCCGGGTTTCTCTTATATCCGGGTCTCTTATATCCGGGTTACACTGTATGACCCTTAATGGCAAATAAGCTGAGCTATATTCATACAGAAGAGCAGACCTTACTTATCAATCAATGAAGAGAAATAAATTTACATAATTTTACTACCAGGTTCATTACTTTATCTGCTCTAAAACTTGTTTTATAGGATTGGAGATCTTACTTAACAATCAACCCTTGCAATTGATGCTGAAACACTCCTGTTCCTAGCCTGTAGATAGAAACAGTCCTTTCAAACATGACCTGCTCTCAACTTGTGTGTAGAAACAATCCTTTCCAACATGACCTTCTCTGGACTTGTGGGTAGAAACAAGGCAAGAATGGTGGATTGAACCAGTGGTATCTTGAATTGTATGAGCGATGTCTTAGTAATAGCTACAAGCTATTTCAGCCTTCCTCCCAATCATGGCGGACAGAAGTTTCGATATTTGCCTGATACCTGAATTCAGTGGGGCTGCAACAGATCTACCAATTGTAGAATGGATTGAAAATGTGGAATTGGTTTCTGAACTCTGCAATATGGATAAAGTTGAGTGGATACTGCCACTGCGCTTGCAAGCCAGGGCTCTCTCTGTGTAACGGCAGCTGACAAAGGAACAGAGGTCAGATGCAGAGCAGATTAAGCAAGCCCTTATAACTGCATATGCGATGGTATTATTCACTGTGTATGATCAATTCGCGTCACGATGGTTTCGGTCAGGAGACAAATTTTTAGCAGAGTTAAAACTGTTAACTTTGCAGGTTGGTGGCTAATGGCCCGAATGATGGATGTAGGGCTAATGGCCCGAATGATGGATGTAGAGCTAATGGCCCGAATGATGGATGACGTGCGCATTTGTTTCTGGACTGCTGCAACAAGTCAAGCAACTTCTCCGAACATCATCCAGAATGGACGTGATGACTTTGGACCAAATTTTGACTCACCCTCGGGCCGTTATGACCGATAGCAAAGAGCCAGATGAGTCTGTTGCCGCAGCAGCTCAACAGATGAATACTGATGTTACCGCACGGATGGGCAGCATTGTTTAAGTGTTTTGGTCTCCACCACCTGGCAAAGAGCTGCAGGCAAGGTTACTCAGAAAGGACGGCTACCCGGACATGAAGATCCCGCCGCTAGTGTTTTTGATGCGACAAGGTCGGGCACATCTCATCAGAGTGCCAGGGAAACGGATCCAAAGAACAGATGTCAGTGCTGGTTTTCTCCCCAAGTGATTAAAAAACATGGCCCTAACTATCATTGAGGTGGCTGTAGACGGAAAGAAATGCATGGCCCTGGTTGATTCTGGTTGCTCACAGATGTTGGTGAGCAAATACACATGCCGCAATTAGCAACCAATGAAGACGGTAGTCCTAACTGCTGACGGTAAGGTTCTAACTTACTGTGGACATGGCAGTATTACGTTGAATATTGGTCATGCTCAATGCGTGTGCATTGATGCCCTAATTGTGGACGGGCCATTACTTGGGTTCAGTCTTCTTTTTGGGATTGACGCAATCAGAGAACTAGGAGGGGTTTCACATAAATCCCTCAGAAGTTCACTTTTTTGAAGAAAATATATCCCATTATGCTGCTATTTCCATCAATGAACCCGACTTTAGTGTAGAGTTCGACCGTCATAACAAAGTATGGACGGCCTCATGGAAATGGACAAATGGACAACTACCTATAACCCTAAAGAATAGAGCAGCAGAATATTCAGTACCCAACTATGCCAGGGATGAATATGAGATGGAGCTTCACTCGTGGTTGGATGGTTGAGACCATACTTCGAAGACGAACTTGGCCCACCTAAGTGTCTAATCCCATTAATGACAGTGATACAAAAGAACAAGCAGAAGATTCATCCAGTACTGGAATACCGTGAGTTGAAAAAAATTGTGGAACCATATTCCACTAACTCAGAGGTGTGTGCATATAAGTTGCAGGAATGGTGACGATTGGGGGCTAACGTATCATTATTGGACTTATGTAGGGCATATCTGCAGATACATGTTGAGAAGGCACTGTGACTCTATCAAACTGTTATATTGAAGGGCCAAAGATGCTGCCTCATCCAACTGGGCTTCAGTTTAAATGTAGCACCTCTCATCATGAAAGCTGTAATTGATGCGGCACTGTCTCAAGATGAAGCCATTGTGAATGCCACATTGGCATATATTGATAACATTTATGTCAACGAAAGTTTGATTTCTGTCCACATGTGTGAGAGAGTACCTGTCCAAGTACGGACTATTATGCAAGGAGCCGACAAGTTTAGGAGATAGAACTAAGGTGTTGGGCTTGCAGGTCTGGAGTGATAATGGCACTCTCCGATTGAGGTGAGATGGAGAGATCCCCGATATCCCTATGAAGATAACTTGCCAGCGTGTGTTCTCTTTGTGTGGAAAACTTGTGGGACACTTTCCCGTTTGTGGCTGGCTCCGAGTGGCCACTGCGTTTGTGAAATGGCGATCAAGCGCCCTAACCACAGGATGGGATGATGAAGTTGAGGATACCTCTTTTAATTGCATGCTAGCTGATATAATAGCCAGAATACGCAAGGCCGATCCAGTAGGAGGAGATTGGTGTGTGAGTGACCGCGAAATAAACGTGTGGGTAGATGCGAGTTCTGTAGTCACAGGTGTGGTATTAGAAATAGAAACGTCATTGAGGATGCGTCGTGGCTGCGCCTGGCTGGAGATGCAATTTGGCTGAGCTAGATGCAATGATAAAGGGTGTCAATTTGGTTCCTCAATGGCAGGTGTCAACAGTACATCTTTTTACCGATTCAGCATGTATTCATCAATGGATTTCAAACACTTTAACTGGCAAGGCACGAATAAATACAACGGCGACTGGGGAAATTCTAGTGCGCAGACGGTTGAAAACACTTCGTGAGCTTGTAGCTGAATATAGCTTGATGGTGGACATAACACTAGTCAAATCCAATATGAATCTGGCAGACCAGCTTATTGGGTGTTAAATCTACACAATTCTGGAACGGAACCAGTGTAGTCAGTATACACTACTACGAAGACCAAGTTGGACGCACATCAAGTGGCTAATATCCACCAAAAACCAGACACCCGGGCATAAAAAAGACCCTGTACATTATTAGGTTGATAGACCCTTCAGTATCATCAGAAGTTGTAAAAGCGGTTGTCAAGGAATGTGAGGCTTGACAAAGCATTGACCCGTCTCCGGTGCCTTGGCAAAAAGGAAAGCTGAACGTGAGGGACAACTGGAATAGGTTAGCAATGGACATCACCCTCCATGGTAGTAAGTACTTTCTGATAATCATTGATTGTGGACCCTCTCGATTCACAATATGGTGACCACTACATCAACAAGATTCTACTAGTGTAGCTCGTCAGATGGAGTCAATTTTTTTACGAACGGAGTCCGCCACTCGAGATATTGACCGACAATGACACAGCATCCACCTCCTCGGTGAAGTACCCGGCAAAAGCGAACTGCTCATGACTGTATTTTTGTGATCATGAGATCAGAGGGAGTGTGGTGAACAGTCACGTAGAAGCAAGCATGACAGAGTGGCTTGCATCTGGTGCAAAGGAAAATAAGTGTCTTACCTCAATGTGCAGCACGTTGCATCAACAGTTTTGCACCTTGTAAATGGCATTACTCTCCTGTCTAGCTATTTCAGCAGTATGGGCGGTAATGAGGGCTTTTTGCACACTTTGGCATACTTTGACTAGTAGCAAGCTGTGTGCTGACTGGTTAAACTAGAGGAGGCTATTTGCCTGGGTAACTGAGAATAAAAGGGAAGAACGTTGATTCATTGGTCGACCACGGTGTTTGCCTGATGTTATAAAATAAAATAAGACATATCTCGGCTGATTTACAGGCAAATAAACTAACATACTCAAGAGCAAGAGCCGGATGTGAACGGGAGAAGGCCCCGTCACAAAATGACCATTATCGTCGTTTATGAATGTTCCCGACGCACGAGTTCCGGTCGAAAAATAAAATAATATTTAAAGTGTTCTATGTTTCGTCCAATAAAAATGCTTCCTTCCTAATTATACTTGCTTCGTTTTTCGAGCCAGTTAAGCACCCCCCCAAACGCCATAAAAAGGGGTCACAGGGAAGTACAATGGGCAGTCAACAGGTGGCCAGGGAAGAGACCTGTCACGGTCAGGCTGAGTGGTCAGCAGTTGTCAGCAGCTGTCAGCAGGGGGAGCGCCAGCGTCACCCTGTGTGAATTACTATGAGAGATCAACCTAGATCCGAAGCCGGCTTATGAACTATACCACAAGGTAGCTGTCCCAAACCCTTATGTTCCTATTGAAATAAATCACGTAAATCTATTTCTGCTGTTGTCGTATTTCTTTCTTGCAACCATACGCTTATCTATTACACTGATAAAAGAGGGCTAAAGCAGTGAGAAAGGGAAGACAGGTTCACGTTTTGAAGTGTGTGGAAGGCAAGAATGGCAGATTGAACCAGTGGTATCTTGAATTGTATGAATGACGAGACTTGTCATTCGGACTTGTCGGAGTTAGCTCCTCCTTAATTTCCTAATGGTTCACTAGGGGTCACTCCCCACTACACTATAAATACTGGTCGAGTTCTTGCTTCGTTCTCTTTTTGACTTTGAAGAAAAACCTAACTTGAGTAGCACTGGCTGCTTGGTCAATGAATGTCAAATGTTTGCTTGTAGGGAAATGCCTATTGCCATTACCTTTAGAGATGAAGAGAACAGATACTACACATTGATCCCAGCCTGATAGCCAGGGTGGGAAGAAAAGCATAATTGGAGTAGCAGTGGTTGCTTGGTCAATGAATGCTAAATGTTTCCTTGTAGGGAAATGGCTAATATTATCATTACCTTTAGAGATGAGGAGAACAGATACTACACTTTGATTGCAGCCCAATGGCCAGGGAGTGAAGAAAAACATAACTTGAGTAGCACCTTTACGATTAGAGACGAGGACAGATACTAAACTTTGATCACAGCCCAATATCCATGGTGTGAGGAAAAGCATAACTTGAGTAATACTGACTACTTTATCAATTAATGCCAAATGTTTCCTTATAAGAAAAAAACTCCTATTATCATTACCTTTAGAGATGAGAACAGATACTCTACTTTGATTGCGGCACAATGGCCAGTGAGTGAAGAAATGCATAATTTGATTAATATTGGCTGCTTGCTAATGAATGTCAAATGTTTCCTTGTAGGGAAATGTCTAATATTACCATTATCTTTAGAGATGATAGGAACAGATACTACACTTTGATCTCAGATGGCTGGTCAGGGAATGTAAAAAAGCATAACTTGAATAGCACTTGGTATTTGATCAATGTATGCCAAATGTTTCCTTGTAGGGAAATGGCTAATATTACCAATACCATGTTCTGGTTGTTAAACTCCCTCTTATTCTCTGAGAACTGATAATTACCAAAAACAAAAATAACTGCTGTTACCTTGCAAATCTGGGGTACTGGGAATTTCCTCTGGAAATGAAGGTATTTCAGTTTGTATTGATCTAAATTTATTTCCTTGAATAATCGTTGAAATCAGTCTTTCAATTTCTGCTATGTGTTCAGAGTTTGTAGTGAATTTAAACTTGCTGTGTTTTGTTTGGATTTTTATGGAAAAATTATTCTGTAAAAAATAAAAGTAAATATGAGTCAAAAGCCAACAACAATCTGTCTAAAGTAAAAGAACTTCCCCTTATTAGTTAAAAGATTATGTTGTTACTGACACAGTAGAGTACCCTGTAAAGCAGTGTTATAAAAATAAGTAAAATAGTTATAAAAATGTTGTAAAATTAATTAAAATTATAATTAATTAAAAAGTGTAAACAAATAAATATTTATAACAGGAGAGGTCTATTGAAGAAAGATTTATTCCTCCATTTGAAATCTCCTGTTATGGGTATTATAGCCATGATATAAATGAAGGGTTTGGTTTAAAATTTCAAATATCATCTGAAGAAAGCCTCAGTGTACAAAGACTGAAATGTTGTGAATATGACAATAAAGGTGAGGACAACAGTCTGAACAATGTAAATAGTGTAAATAGTTACAATACCTCATCTTAGAAATACAGACAACTAAATATTATAATTGCCTAAGTTATTATTGGGTTGGTGCATAATTATCAGGCGTTTTTGAAACAATATTTATTGTGAAAAAAGAAATATAACAATTCAACAATAACATTTTTAAATGATTATTCCAGAGCATATGATTATCAACACCCATTTTTATAGCTTGAAAATAAAATATTTTTATTAAAATAAGTAAACAAAACAGCAATTTTTATTAACAAATAAATCACTTACAAAAACGCCTGATAATTATGCACCAACCCAATAATTTTTTCAACCATAAAAAAAAAAAAATATAAGATTTTATTGAAGTCAGAAATTGTTTGGTAATTATCAGAATTTTTTTTTTTTTTTAAAGCTTTTTATTTTTAAATTATGTAGAAATATTTTTAGGTCTTTTATTGGATTAAAATATAGATCTACACATTAAAGTATACATACACATAGAATTTTCATAAAATGGAAATCTGGACCACAAGAAAAAAGAAGGCTTGAGAACCACTTAAAGGATTACAGGGAACATAATGGTAATTCTGGTGGTAAGAAATGAAGATTCTAAGGACAAAGAAGATGGTTATTTTTGTTTTAGAAAATAAAAGTTAATTTTCATTCTTTAGAATTCTAATTCCTTGTTTTTATTTTTTTAGAAATGCTTGGTTAGGTATCTGTTCTGCTAGACAGATATCAGCAGAGTCACCCACCAACATTTATTTGGTGACCCAACACTTACCTCATTACTGTCACTTTCAATAATGTCAATAAATGGAATGATGACATGGATGGTTATTTTGTCCATAAAATAAATGCTTTGCATTCGGAAATCAATCTGAAATATTGAAGATAATCAAAGAATTAAATTTTAGTTTTTAAATTAGACATATCTTGCATTTATAGTATTTTTTTTTATAATGTCCACTCTGTACAAGGCCCAAGAGCCACTCGAGGTAGAGGCACCGTTTATGAGGATATGTGGAGAAGAAAATAATTAACTCTTGATTTGAACAGGTTAAGATAGTAAGAATCAAGGAAATATTTTCTTGGAAACCAGTTCCACAAGGAAGCTGTTCAAGTGGAACTTACAACTCACTAATCAAATATGAAGAGATTGATAGTTGGTTTTCTACAATGTGCATGGCATGGCTGCACATTGGTCATGATGGTTATAATTGGTGAAACTGTGGAGAGGGTCAATTGACCTCACTAATTTATATTAAACACGATACCACAAAATAATTTTTTTTAGAACGATAATTATTTATTGAAAAAAGTTTGAACAAAATGTTTTTTTTTTTTTTGGTTATCCTCTGCCAGCCACAATGATGGAGAAAGCATTACCTCAAACCATGGCCAGTGAGACATGCTGCAAAAGCCACTCGGTTTTGCGAGGTTCGTCCCTTAATTGAAACGTCATCGTGCCAATCCTTCGAAGGAACGCCATCAAAAGAGGGCCATTAACCCCAGAAATCTCCACTGCCACAGGAGTAAAAAAAAAAAAATCTATCAGCAAGAAAAAAAATATTTAACTATTTTTTTTTTCTCTGTGTCCCGGGCGACAGACCCCGGCTCAACCGCGGACCTGATCAAATTACCGGTTGAAAACGTATCTGCACAAGTCGCATCCCAAATCAACGACTTCCCCAAAGTGGGACATAACCATTATAGGCCATAGGTACTGTATAACATATATATATATATATATATATATATATATATATATATATATATATATATATATATATATATATATGGTATAAAATGACAATTGAAAAAAATCTTAGATTTTGCCGACGTGTTTCGTCTTCCGACTTTTTCAAGGCAAAATCTAAGATTTTTTTCCAATTGTCATTTTTATACCAATCTGTCTTATCCACATAATTGATCTGGGAATTATATATATATATATATATATATATATATATATATATATATATATATATACAGGTGCGGCTGGTATTTGAGGACATGCAGATTTAAGATCAATACTTAAATGCTTTTATTTTTCCGAAATCAAGAATGGTAAAACCTATGATAACAAATGAAATGAAAAGGCATGCTGTGATTGTGGCATTAAAGGCTGATCAAACCATTTTGGATATTGCACATTTCTTCAGAGTTGCAAGATCTTTTGCCCACAAGATACAAAAAGAGTTAGAAGACGCTGACTCTTCCCCAATGGCTGTATCAAAATGTAAAAGACATTTTGCACGTTCTGATAAAGTGAGAACATCCAAATTTATTCAGGAAGTCAAGCAGACAATTAATGAAAACGGAGGTCAATCAATGAGGTCAATTGCCAAAAAGGTGCATGTGTCTGAAAAAAAAAAAAACTTTTTTTCGCAAGGTCTTAGAGTAAATGCTGCTGCTTACATTGAAGTTCTAGAAACAGTTGTCAAGCCTTGGATTGACAACATATATAACAGGAGGCTTTACATATTCCATATCTTCTTATTTATTTATCTCTTTGACACTACAAGTTTAATATATAAATTAAATACTTTTCTGGGCTTCAAATTACTTAGTGAAGTTTTTTTTAAAAACTGAAGATAAACTAAGGAACAGACAATATCAGCAAGGCTTTATAAAGTTGGCTTATTATTTCATTTTAAAATGTTTCTGCACGTCTAAGTGGATTCAGCATGTTCCCTATTCATCTATAACATGGACACAGGACAACTCAAAACCGTTGACTCAACACCAGGACAATTCAAAACCGATGACTCAACACCGGGACAACTCAGCACTGAGACAATACAGCACCAGAAAAACAACTTTTTTATAACCAAATAAAAGTAATTTATTAAGGATTAAAACTTTAATTAGGGAATATTTTTCTTCAAATAAGGCATTTGAAAAGGCATTATGTAAAATATGAACCAGTTTTTTGGTTTTAATTTTTTTTAATAAAGTAAATCGTAAATTATTAAGTTAAGAATGTTGATTTTCTGGCCTTCAAATTACTTGGTGAGTTTTTTTTTTCTACACTAAGGAAATGGCAATATCAGCAAGACTTTATAAAGTTGGCTCATTCTTTTATTTTAAGATGCCTCTGTGAATTTAAGTGGGTTCAGCATGTTCCCTCTTCATATATAACACGGGCGCTCACCAACTCAACAACGCCGACTATTCGTAGAGAAATTCATTTTTTAATAAAGTATATAATACGGATTCTGTTAAAACGAAAATATATGTAAACCGTTCAATGAAAAAAAAAAAAAAGAAAATGGAAGGTATAACTTGTATCAGATTTAGCACAACCAGTAATTAGCTATGGTTAACTTTCTATAGCCTTTCTTGTGTCAGCAGATTAACAATGACCAATCATTTTCTTTCTTTTCTACCTTCTTTGCTGACATGAAGAAATACTTTAGTAGAAATTAATACAAAAGTTATTGACATAGAACAGGACTATGTATAATGTAGATACATTGAGGATAATTTTATCATAAAAATGCATTTAAAATCAGGAAGAAAGGGATTGTCAGTGGTCAGGAATTAATGCAAGTATTACTGATAGAATAAGACTATTATATGTATAATTTAAATGCATTGCTAATGATTTTAATATAGGAATGCATTGAAAATGAGGAAGAAAGGGATTGTCAGTGGTCAGGAATGAATGCAAGCATTACTGATAGAATAGGGCTATTATATATATAATGTAAAGGCATTGCTAATGATTTTACTATAGGAATGGATTGAAAAAGAGGAAGAAAGGGATTGTCAGTGGTCAGGAATGAATGCAAGCATTACTGGTAGAATAGGGCTATTATATGTATAATGTAAAGGCATTGCTAATGATTTTACTATAGGAATGCATTGAAAATGAGGAAGAAAGGGATTGTCAGTGGTCAGGAATGAATGCAAGCATTACTGATAGAATAGGGCTATTATATATATAATGTAAATGGATTGCTAATGATTTTACTATAGGAATGGATTGAAAAAGAGGAAGAAAGGGATTGTCAGTGGTCAGGAATGAATGCAAGCATTACTGATAGAATAAGGCTATTATATGTATAATGTAAATGCATTGTTAATGATTTTACTATAGGAATGCATTGAAAATGAGGAAGAAAGGGATTGTCAGTGGTCAGGAAATAATGCAAGCATTACTGATAGAAGAGAGGTAATATATGTATAATTCAAATTCATTATTAATGATTTTTCGATATAAATGCTTTTCTAATCAAGATTGGGATTGTCAATGATCAAGAATTAATGCCTAACTTACTAATAGATTAGGACATATATATATTAAATGAAATGAATTTCTAATGATTTTACTTTTCAAATTTATGGCTTGTCGGTAAGAAAATTTATTGTCAGGAATTTATTGTCAGAGATCGGGAATTTATTGTCATGGTTCAGGAATGAATGTATTATTGATAGAATAAGACTTAGGTGTATTATTAAGACATATACCTGCATAGAATTCTTGATACCATTGCCATTTTTAAATCCATATGGATAGCGGGTCACACCAAATGTGAAGGCCTTTGCGGAAGTGGATTCCATTTTCTCTTCCTGAAAACAAAAGTCGAAAAAACAATCAACAAAAGATTTTGTGATAGAAAAAAAAAATTTAAAAAAAATTTAACCAATAAAAAATAAATGTGATTAATTTTGACAAGAGATTTTGTAAAAGGATTAAAAAGAGATTTTGATTCAAGGTCTATACAGTACATTGATTGTAAGTCTCAAATCTCAGGGACGTTTTCAACAAGTTCAAAAACCCACCATCACACCAAGCCAAGGATGATAACAATAGGTTGGGGGTGTAATGTCAATGGGCCAGGGGCAGATTTTGCTTTTCATTACAAATAACTTTAAAAAAAAAATCTTTCTGAACAGAAAAAAAATCTTTGCTGATAAATTGAGATTTTTTTTCTGTATTTTTCATTTATGCAATTTCTTCAAGGATAGAACCATTTGACATTTTCAGAAAAGACACAGAAATATTTCAGATTTTCAGAAAAGAAGCAGAACTGTTTGAGATTTTCAGAAAACAGTCGTAACAAACTGAGATTTCCAGAATAGAGGCAGAATCATTTCAGATTTTCAGAAAAGAAGCAGAACTGTTTGAGATTTTCAGAAAACAGTCGTAACAAACTGAGATTTCCAGAATAGAGGCAGAATCATTTCAGATTTTCAGAAAAGAAGCAGAACTGTTTGAGATTTTCAGAAAACAGTCGTAACAAACTGAGATTTCCAGAATAGAGGCAGAATCATTTCTGTTTGAGATTTTAAGAAAAGAGGGAGAACCAGTTTAGATTTTCAGAAACAAGTTGAAACACCAGTTCCTGTACGATCATCAGAGTTAAGCAATGTTGAGCTTTGTTAGTACCAAAATGGGTGACTGCTTGGGAATATCAGATGCTGTAGGCTTCAATGTATGGGGTGTCATGGATTATAGTCAATTATTATTTTTAATAGAAGAACCAAGTTACAATTCCTGGTGTACATTATATTCACTTATGTGCAAGTACCCTTGTGAAAGTTATGAATCTACCTCTTCTCCTCCGGCTATGGGTTAATTAGTAAAACTTGTACCATGAAAAGCATTATTATTTCCAAAAAATAAATTCAAAATTCTTATAATCTAAAAATATTTCTTGGCTTTAAATAAGTTGATAAACTGTAGAAAAACGAATCAACCAATCAATGAAATACTGATTAGCTACACAGGCATGTGTTTTAGATTTATTTCCATTCTCTGGAATATAAATGTGTAGAAACTATTATGGCCACAAAATGAGGGATCATTTCACATTGATTTTAATATAGAATTGATCCCCCATTTTATATCTACATTATAATTTCTTGTTTGTTGGTAAGCCGTAGAAAACATTCTCTGGAATATAAATGTATAGAATGACCATAAAGTGAGGGATCAGTTTATATATTGATTGTAATATAGAATTGATCCTCCACTTTATATCCACATAATAATTTCTTTTCTGTTTATCAAATTCTGATTCCTAAGACATTTGGTTTATAATATCCAGAAATTCATACACAGATGTCCTCTAGGACACATGGTACAGTGGATAAAGGCGTTGGTTAGATCCAGTGACAGGACCCAAAGAGTGTGAGTTCAGTGGAGAACTTTCAGAGGGAAATTAACAGGAGATAACTGATAAATGACATCCATTAAGACATGGCAGGTGGAACTAGAATAGTCTACCCCAGTGAGCGAAATAAAAGGTTCAGTTCGACATTCCAACCACCTGAAGAAGACCGGAGCGTACAACGGCCGAAACGTTGTAATAAATATGGTGACAAAGATGAGGACAATAGTCTCAATAATGTAAATAGTGTGCATCATACCTCATCTCAGAAATATAGACAGATACTGAAAGGCCGAAACGTTGTAATAAATATGGTGACAAAGATGAGGACAATAGTCCGAATAATGTAAATAGTGTACATAATACCTCATCTCAGAAATATAGACAGATACTGAAAGGCCGAAACGTTGTAATAAATATGGTGACAAAGATGAGGACAATAGTCCGAATAATGTAAATAATGTCGAGATTAAAGTTTTCAGGAAAGTGTCTGTTTCTAAAAATGGTGGTTCTTCGGAAAATCTGTCTAGGGAGAACTTCCTTTGTTTTTTCTTTCCTTTTTTTTTTTTTTACAGTGGTGATCACCCTATACAATGCCCAGGGTCATTCGCGGTAGAGGATTATAGAGTAAGAGGTAGTTTAGGATGGGGAGATAACGGTTAACCCTAGAGTTGAACAGGCCAAGGTTGTAGCAATTGGGAAAACATCTTCTTTGCATTTGGTTCCACAGGGCAGTGGTTCACAGGGAGACGCTGGACAAGTGTAACTTCCTTCTTACAATTGGAGTACAGAGGAAATGACGATGGTTCACCACAATGCACATAGCTGTGAAGATTTAGAACTGGCAGAACCAAAGAATGCAGTTCGAGGTTTTCCATGGAAGTAGTGACAGAGCAGTGAGACGCTTGCCACATCACGTCTGTGTGTGTGTGTGTGTGTGTGTGTGTGTGAGAGAGAGAGAGAGAGTTGGAAATAATTTGTCATCCACAAGGACTCAGAGATGCTTTTGGATTCTATCAAGACTGGAGAGAGACGACTGGGCAGTTTTACACTTGGATCACGGGAGAAATAAGAGTGATTCGAATTTGTGGAAGTGTCCTAGTAGAAAAAAAAATGAACTAGTGAAGCTATAGACTAGAGTTCATCTGAGTATTTTCCATGGATACAAAGATAAAATAGGCTTAAAAAACTTTGTTTATTGGAAAGAGGTTGCAGAATGAAAAAAAAAATACAAGGAAGCGAAAACGATTTTGAACTTTATCAAAGTTTAAAAGTGATGATTGAGCAGCTCCAGAAGTTTTAATATTTTGGAAGAGTTTTTGTTTGGTTTGTTTCGTTTTACGGCATATCAACACCTCAATGGGTTATTTAATACTGACAAGATTATTGCTGGTAATAATTTTTTCAAAAACGTATTGTAATATTTTTTCATTAAAAATGTATTGCTGGCAATATTTTTTCTTCAAAAATGTATTGCTGCTAATATTTGTTTCAAAAATGTATTGCTGCTAATATTTGTTTCAAAAATGTATTGCTGGCAATATTTTTTCTTCAAAAATGTATTGCTGCTAATATTTGTTTCAAAAATGTATTGCTGGTAATATTTTTTACCTTCAGAAATTTATTGCTGGTAATATTTTTTTCCAAAAATATATTGCTTGTAAAATTTTTTTTTCTTTCTTTCAAAAATGTATTGCTGGTAATATTTCTTTTTGCAAAAATTTATTGCTGGTAATATTTTTTCCTTCAAAAATTTATTGCTGGTTATATTTTTACAAAAAGTATTAACTGGTATTAAAACCTTTTTTTACACTTTCATAATGTTTCGACCCCAGTTTAGGGGTTAACTATTTGCCCATAACTGGGACCCTAACAGATGCTGCCACCCCGAGTCAGGGTGGACCTGGGAACAACAGCAATTAAGAGGTGGTTCCAGGCTCTTCAAAACCTCCTGATCAAAGACCTTGCTGTTCGATGTAGTTTATAGTTATACCGAGGACGCAGATACAGTTTATCATCATACCAAGGACGGTGGAAAAGTTTTAACAGAGGATGGAAAATATGACACCGAAATTTGAATGTGCAATAGAATGTGCAAAAGATTGTTGCATATTCACAGCAGTGAATGATCTGAGCTTGGCTTTTTCTCTTGGTCAGCAAGCGTTAATCGCTTCGTCTCAGCAATGAAAGATTTCAGCATCGAGAACTTTAACTTAACATTTTTATTAATCTTGTTGACATATACATTATCTAACTATCCAGTGGAGGTGCCCCCTCTCCACATCACTGGGGAGCTGTTTCGGACACAAAAGAGAACACGTCTACATCGCTTGACAGGTAAGAAACAACTCGCTGAAACTTTTCTCCTATCTGTCTTTCTCATGCTAGCTCAGCCAATCAAAATCGACTTCCCTATTATGGGTCACGTCTGACCCCGGCTTTTAGAAGTCGGAGCCGGGATACACTATTATATAACAAGATGCCTTTCAAAATCTAAACAAAGTACTAAGAAACAGGACAAGTTCACTAAACAGAAAGAGTGCCGAACTGCTATGTAATAACAGTCTTCCTATATGACAGTGAATACTAGGCAATCTCCTCATAAAAGAAGAAGAGACATGAGGCAACAGAGATGTTTTACAGAATGATAATGAGAATAACATAGACGGAGCACACAAGCAATGAGGAAGTTTTAAGGAAAATGAAAACAAAAAATAAACCTCATATTCAGAATCAGAAAGAGGCAGTGGAAATTTATTGGACAAATAATGAGGAAAGCTGGCTTGGAAAATTTACCCTCACAGAACATACTGAAAGCAAAGGGGGCACGGGAATGAAATGAGCTAACTGCCTGATGAGCATGTGTGGGTGGATGGAAGGCGGAAAGGGTAGTTGTATCAGAATAAAAAAGAAAATCAAAACGAAAGACAAAATGCGATAAAAGAAAAACTACTAGAAAAAGAAAAGAAAGGCAAAGAGAAAAAAAGAAAACCGAAAAGAGAAGAAAAAAAGAAAACCGAAAAGAGAAAAAAAGAAAAAAGAAAAGAAAACCGAAAAGAGAAAAAGAAAAAGAAAAGAAAGAGAAAACAGAAAACTGAAAAGAGAAAAAAGAAAACCAAAAAGAGAAGAAGAAAAAAAGAAAACTAAAAAGAGAAAAAAAAAGACAACCGAAAAGAGATAACCAAAAATAGAAAAAAAGAAAGCAAAAACGAAATGGAAAAAAGAAAAGAAAATTACAAAGAGAAAAAAAGAAAAGAAAATCGAAAAGAGAAAAAAAGACAAGGAAATCGAAAAGAGAAAAAAAGAAAAAGAAAACCGAAAAGAGAAAAAGAAAAGAAATAGAAAACAGAAAAAAAGAAAAGAAAACTGAAAAGAGAAAAAAGAAAACCGAAAAGAGAAAAAAAGAAAAGAAAACCGAAAAGAGAAAAAAAAGAAAAGAAAATCGAAAAGAGAAAAAAAGACAAGGAAATCGAAAAGAGAAAAAAAGAAAAGGAAATCGAAAAGAAAAAAAAAAGAAAAGAAAACCGAAAAGAGAAAAAAATAAAAGAAAATCGAAAAGAGAAAAAAAAAACGAAAAGAGAAAAGGGAAAAAGAAAAAGAAAAGAAAGAGAAAACAGAAAAAAAGAAAAGAAAACTGAAAAGAGAAAAAAAGAAAAGAAAATCGAAAAGAGAAAAAAAGAATAGGAAATCGAAAAGAGAAAAAAAGAAAAGAAAATCGAAAAAAGAAAAAAAAGAAAAGAAAATCGAAAAGAGAAAAAAAGAAAAGAAAATCGAAAAGAGAAAAAAAGAAAAGAAATCGAAAAGAGAAAAAACAGAAAAGAAAATCGAAAAGAGAAAAAAAGATAAGGAAATCGAAAAGAGAAAAAAAGAAAAAGAAAACCGAAAAGAGAAAAGAGAAAAAGAAAAGAAATAGAAAACAGAAAAAAAGAAAAGAAAATCGAAAAGAGAAAAAAGAAAACCGAAAAGAGAAAAAAAGAAAAGAAAATCGAAAAGAGAAAAAAAAGAAAAGAAAACCGAAAAGAGAAAAAAATAAAAGAAAACCGAAAAGATATATAGGAGGACTGATATTGCATAACAGTTCAATACTCTTTTCTTTGTTTCTCTTGCTTCATGTCTCATCTTCATCATTGAGGGGACTGTTCAGTATTCACTGCCATATAGGAGGACTAATATTACATAACATTCAGACGTCTTTTCTTTGTTTATAAAAAATTTTTCTTAATTCTTAAAACTTTGCTTAGCTTTTGGAAGGTATCTTTCGCTATCCCAATGCACCTTCGGATTTCAGCATCACACTTTCTGATATTTAAATTATTGTAATTGTTTGATTTTTGTATCTCCAATTTGTAATTTGCATGTTGGACTGCTCCTTTTGCTCACAACCATGCATTGCTGTCCCTTGGGAATTAACCTATCTCTTTTCCTCCCGGTTTAAGACTAGGTTCTATATTCTTGGCCGGCAACCAGTTTACTGCAGAAACAGCAACCTACTGGGGGAAAATCTTCTGCCTAGTCAGTCATGAATCGAAAGAGACATGATCGCTCAAGTGTGTATCACGTGATGACACTTTACTGACTTTATCTCTTCTTCCGTCCGCTATGATTTGAATAACAGGACAGAATGGGTCCTATAGCCTTGGATGGCAACAAGTCTACCACAGAAAGAAATGACAACCTACTGCGGGAATATCTTCTGTCTAGTCAGTCATGAATCGAAAGAGACATGATCGCCCAAGTGTGTATCACGTGATGGCACTTTACTGGCTTTATCTCTTCTTCCCTCGGCTATGATTTGAATAACAGGACAGAATGGGTCCTATAGCCTTGGATGGCAACAATTCTACCGCAGAAAGAAATGGCAACCTACTGGGGGAAAATCTTCTGCCTAGTCAGTCATGAATCGAAAGAGACATGATCGCCAAAACGTATATCAAATATGGCACAGTTGACTGATGATACAGTTATATTCAGACGATGCTGTTTTTTGTATATAGAAAATAGCATACATTCAGGTACTGGTGAAATGTTGTACGTGTTATGTAATCAGGGTCAATGCGTACTACTCCCTAACCAACCAACCAGTGTTTGTGGGCCCTGGGCAGTGCTTTATGATCCTCACTATCTTACCAACATTTACTTTTTTATCTACATTTATATCAGTTAAAAATCAAAGTAAGCACAACTGACTAAAGGATGAAAAATTTTATTCACGGATCTGTTTTTTTTTGTCTAAATCCGTAAGTTTTTTTGCTCATGGTAAATCTCTAAAAAACACGATAAAATTCACTATTTGTATCCATTTGCTGAATGTGTTAAACTTATTCAACTTTTTATCAAGAAAAATTTCAAGTTCATGTAAAAATAACCGCAAAACATTGTTGATTTATTTAACATGGAACGGTCTATTATGCCATATCCAAAAATTTGTATTAACATAAATTATACTTATTTTCAAATTTTCTATTTGAATTGTTTACTTAGATAAATAAATGATGAAAAATTTTCATCCATGGTTCTCTTTTTTTCTCCAAATCCGTAATTTTTTTTTTTTTGCTAGTGGTAAATCTCTAAAAAACACGATATAAAATTCAATATTTGTATCCATAATGCTGAAAAATTATTCAACTTTTTAACAAGAAAAATCTCAAGTTAATGTTAAAAATTGCCGCAAAACGTTGTTGATTTATTTAAAATAGAATTATCTATTATGACATGTCTTTAATTTGTATTTACATACATTATATTCAATTTTCAATTTTTCTAGTTGAATTTTTCATCGATAGTGTATATGATCGATTATTGTACATAATTAAGTTAGAATAAAATTTGCATTTTATATGTAAATTCCCTTATAAAAATTGTGATGTGGTAGAGTTGGGAGCTCCGTACCATAGATTGTAGGGAGCGTATAATAGATTCGAGATGGGAGGCACAAGAACCATGCACATATCCTGTTTGCAATAAATCTCTAGAATAAGAAGACCACTTATGAAATAAAGAAACCTCACCCATAAATATATCGTCTGGAATGTTCTAATAAAAAATTAAAAAAAAAATTTCCTGATGAGTAAGTGGAAAACGACAGGAATGTCTTTACAAATGTCAATATGTCATAAAAAGATTCGATTCGGTAGAGTCCACCAATCTCGATATAAGTAAAGCGCAGTGTATGTGTGTCCGTCCGTCCGTTTTTCGGAGAATCATAAACAACCTGAAGTAACAGGTAGTAACTACTTTAATTAAACGCGATTAAAGATTTAAAAAAATAACTCATTTAAAGTTAAATTTAAACATCGAACCTAAAGAAAGGTTAAAAAAAAACAAATCTTTCTTAAAGGTTTAACTTTCATTTCACTTTTCGTCGCAGTTGCAATAGATATAATCTAATTAAACCGTAATTAAAAACTTAAGCGGGGCACGGTACATTGCTCATATTTTTTTTTCTTTTTTTCGCACGCTTATTCTGTTGTATTCGAAATATTACATAGTTCGGGTTTCCTAACGTCTTTTAAAAATGACTTTATGCGAAGTGATCATAAAGAATGATGATTTTAAAAGAAAATAAAAATTCTGCACAAAATAAATGTAAACAAACTACGTAGATCGGTTGCGTATACGAAGAAAGATTGTGTCGAATAAAGATAAAATAATTTTATTATTTCTAAACTCTTATAACTTTTATGTACATAGGACACTGAAGGTAAAAGGTTGAAGACTCGAATACCCTCCGCAGGAGCTTGCCTAAAGTTTCCTCGAATGTCGGCGACTAGGATAGGGTTAGATAAACTTGTAATTAGATAAAAAGTCCGCCAATATTATATAAATTTGTAATTAGATAAAAACTTATCACATAAAGGAATCAACGATTATTGGAATGGCTGGGGGAGGATAAACGCTACCTTACCCTCCCAATATAGCTTTACTTTTGTTGTTTTTAATCATTTCCCGCCAAAAATATAAGAAAAGAAACATATTACGGAGCGAAAACAATAAAAGAACTAGAATTAAGAAGACAAAAGATAAAGATTAACTTTGCATTTAAATTTTTGAATATCAGATGTGACTGGGAAGCCAAAAGTTGTTGGAAGTGAGTTCCACAACTGTGAAGTGTGAGAAAAGAAACTGTTAGCATCGAACTGTAAAATGATGAGATCTCGCCAATCTAGTCATACGTTTAAATTAATAAAGTCTAGATACTCTAGAAAAAAGTAATATTTATTTTGAGTAATACAAATATGTGGCCCAAGGCCAAAAGGGGAATAGGAGAAGGCTGATCTTCAGTCTGTTTTATCTTAAATTTAGTTAGCCGCAATTACTGATCCAAACATATCACAGTATTCCTTACGCCAAAATAACACATTCTTACTAACTATTCTTACTACAGTCACCATAATACCTCAATGTCTCTATGTCGTCCTAACTAGTTCCCATATGTACCATAGAAGAAAGTTCATCAGAACAAATGCCATGAAAGTATTTATAGAAAAGACACAAAGAAGTTATGTCACAACGGTGGGAAAGTGGCTGAAGCCGAGATATCAAGCCAGGGCGAATAACATTTCAGATTCTTCTTTAGATTTTATCAAGGATCTCTAAATATATAACAGGAGCACCAGAGTAAGATCTACGATATAGTAAAAGTTTGTTCATGGGTAAAAATAGTGTAATGTTTGGATTTTTCCTTATTTACAATGACGTTGACCCTGTACAAGACCCGAAGTTCACTCGAAGTAGAGAGTTACAAAGTAAGAGGTTTAACTTATGAGGATATTTGTGCAAGATAACGGTTAACTCTAGACTTGGGCAAATTAAGGTTGTAGTGATTGGAAAAGTTTTGAAAACTTAAAACGTAGACGTTCCACTTCAAAAATATGTCATTAGAAAGCTGTAGCAAAATTTCATTAAATGAAACTACTTGTGAACAAAAGAATTACCATCAAATAATAATTCAGATAAATATGTTGTTAGAATGTAACAATAGCAAAAAATGTCTCATTCTGTAATAAGCATGTAAAAACTAAAGCTTATGTATTAAAAATGCTACGAATTTATTCGGTACTGACTGGATGAAACTATTTGAACTTTGGGATTTGTCGATAAACGTTTATTGTAAAAACGTAAGTGGACAAGCAACTAAAAAAGGTTAGAGCAAAAATCTTAAGGAAGAATTAAAAAAATGTTTTTCAGACGTTCTATCAAATGAACTGGGTCGGTGTTCAAAATTCAAGGCGGGTTTTCAAGTAGAAAAAGGTTTAATGCCAGTATTTAAGCCGAAACGGAGCATATCATTCGCAGCATTGGAACAAGTCAAGGAAGTGTTGGACAGACTCGAAAGAATTGGTTTAATAGAAAAAATTAACCATTCAAAATGGGATGCACCAGTGATGTATATAAAGAAAAAAAATGTTTGCGCGGATTTTTCGACAGGATTAAACAGACAGTTTAGAAACACATAAATACTCATTACTAAGTCCAGAGGAAATTTTTTCGAGATTAAACGGTGGAAGAATATTTTCAAAGCTGGATCTCTCTGAAGCGTGTTTACAAATTCAGATTGAAAATGAATGTTCCGAATTAACGACTATAGATACACACAGAGGAGTATATAAATTTAACCGACTTATTTTTGGTATTATGGTGCCACCAATTATTTTTCAACAAGATATGGATACCATGCTTGTGGATTGCGATTTTGCAGTGGCGTATCTCGAGGACATTTTGATCAAAAGTGTACCGAAGAACAACATGTTGGGCATAGAAAAACAATTTTGGAAAAATAAGAGAGTACAAATTCAAGCTCACTATAAAAAATGCGAATTGTCTTTGCCAAAATTGCGAATTGTCTTTGCCTTGGTCAAATTGCTAATAAAAATGGTCGTCAATCAGATCCGTTGAGGGCAAGTACAATTAAAAATGTGTCTTCGCCAAAAAACGTGACTTCGTTACAAGCTTTTTTAGGATTGGCTAATTACTATCAAATATATATATATAATATACATAATTTGAGAGCTTCACTGAACGATCTAATTAAAAAAGTAGTAAAGTGGAACTGAAATGATAA